CATTGAGGAGGTTGATTACCCTTTACTGCTTGTCCTGGAGCTGTAACAGGTGAGAGGAAATCTCTCCAAAGTGAAGGGAAATCCCCTCTTAAAATGTCACCAGAACAGGCATCCCCATTGCATGACATGATTCCCCCTCTTTGGCTGTTCTGTGTGTGACACTACAACTATCAAGAACTGCTGACCACTCAGCTCACGGTCTTCTCCCTGCAGAGAGGGACTGTCAGTCACCACTCCCTGGTAGGGATTTCTCCTCTTTCTGTGCCTCCAGTGCTCCTTGGAGGGCCGGCCGGGGGAGGGGATGGTCACATTTCGCTCTAGAGAAGCGGAGCCAGCTGTCAATCAGGCAGCGCGGTGGATCCTGACAATATTGTCTGGATTTTTCCCAGCTGCAGCGAGACTGAGCTGTTGGCTTATAGTGGGCAATAGCCAGCTAGATGCTGACTTTGTTTTACAGGAGTACATTAGTAATTGTACTTCTGTGACCCAAAGGAGGGCTGAAGCCAAAAAAAAAAAAAAAAGTTTGGCTTTAGTTCTATTCTTTTAAGTTCTTTTCTGATTTCTCAATTCTTTCTGGTGGACAAATTTTAGCCAGGGTGGGCACCAATAGAAAACACTGCTTTTTCCTCTGGCATTTCTTATCCGGCGAACTCTTTTTCTGTGTAATCAATAATATTCCTGTCTGGCAGATGCATCAGCAGATATATTCTCAGACAAGGGTCACCTTATTTTCCTACTATGAATAACCCCAGTAGGGTTTTTTTTGTTTGCGAAGAACTAAGCATTGACTTTTTGATATGGGGCTGTTTGCCACTGCAAACCCAGTTTAATTTAATTTTTTTTTTTTTAAATCACATAGTGTGCCAGACCCTTATGCTAATGCTTACACTGTACCCCTCAAATTTATGCTATGGGCTTTATAAGCTTCATTCAACTTCCACCCTGGATTTACACATTTATCTGAATCTAATTAGAAACTTGTGTGAAACTAAGCTGGCCATACACCTATAGATTATCTGCAGATTTTCTATTGTGAGATGGAAAAAGTGCAACAGATTCCTCCAGCTACGCTAAACTGTGTGGATGGAGGAATCTTCCACTGGGCCAAGCTTCAGTATTATGCTAGTTGGCCCTGCTGGCTGTCAAGCTAACTGAACAATCTGATTGGATGCAGGTATTGTTCAGGTAGTTTCAGAGCCAGCGGGGCCGACTAACAAGATACTGAAGCTTGGCCCAGTGGGAGATTCTCCATCCACACAGTTTAGCGTAGATGGAGGAATCTGTTGCACTTTTTCCATCTGACCATAGAAAATCTGCAGATAATATATAGATGTATGGCCAGCTTTATGCTGGGCACACACCTTACAACCATTGCAAGACTTTTGTCTTGCGATGGTTGTAAGGTACTTAAAAAAACGTACGTACGATCTGCTTATCTTTGACAGGCAGATCGTACTTGCGATGATCGCAAGGTCGCGCCCCCCTGAGGGGCGGGCTTCCGATGACCGCAATGCCGAACGGTGGGTTTTCGAACATGTTCGTAAGTTAAAAGTCGTGCGACCTCACAGTAGTAGAGGTCGCACGGCTTCCACACACCTTACGATAATCGTACGATCGCGGGATTTCGTACGATTATCGCAAGGTGTGGTGTGGGGAACTTTTAGGATGAGATCTAAATGCTTAACCTGGTCCATAACCCTAAACTTCTTAATCATTACCTTAACCTAACACTAACTTAAATGTGCACCTTCCATGATAGAAAATGGAAGGCTCACTGTACTCTCGGTCCCCCACCTCCTAAACAGAAATGGTTAAAAAAAAATTCTGGCTTCTGAGGTGTGGGTAACGTTGCTATTCCCTAGTGCTTCCTCCCCAGAAAAGCTACAATGTGCTAAAGTGCATCTTTTTGTTGCAGGTTTTCAAGTGCCCAACTTTTTTAGGAGGCATCTTTGAGGCATGGTGGTATCCTCTATTGCTCCTGAAAGCAGCAGAAGCTGTGCCTGAAGCAAGAATATTTTAAGGGTGTTAGCAAGATTCCTAAGTTTGTTGCTGGGGGACGACAATACAGCATCTTCATGGCCAGTTCCCTTTCAACCTGTAAATATTCAGTCTCATCTTATGTGTAATAGTATTGGGCTACCCTATAGGTGGCCAACTCTGGCCCTCCAGCTGTTCTGGAAATACAAATCCCATGTGGCAGTGCAAGACTGACAGTTACAGTCATGACTCCCAGAGGCAGAAGTATGTTGGGATGTGTAGTTAAAGCACAGCTGGAGGGCCGGAGTTGGCAACCCCCGTGCAGCGACTGTCCCTTTAAAGCTCCTTGTTTTGCACCAAGACCTACAATGCTGCAATCCTGGCACTGAAAGAACTGGATCCGAATAGGCTATAGCTAAAAGCTGCATGTGCCTCCTAATCTACTCGGTGACACTACTGCAGTGCATACACATCTACATTTATTGCAAACTGATGCTGAGCGAAAGGGCCAGGCTTTCATCCCTGAGCTTTCTTGATTAAAAGTTGCCCAGCAGCCTAAATATTTCCCTCAGTACATGGTTACTTTAATAGTGGAGCAGTCTGCATTTTTGGCAAAATTGGAAGTGTGCTAGGGCTACAATTTGGAACTGAAGTACAAGCCAACATTTAAAGACTCCCTGGATGCACGAAAAACTGCAACCTAATGCCAGGTGAGTGCCTGGTCTTCAAGGACCACGTTAGTGTGTATGAGAGAGAGTGTGTGTGTTCTATAAGGCCTTCTGTAATTGATTCTTGATCTGCCTAGGTTTTAACCCTTTTCTTGCCACCAACGTAAGGCATATGACAGAACACAACCGCTTCCAGCTGACCAGCTCAGTATGTCTTACACCTGTGGTTTTCTCCCTCCCTTCTGCTTCAGTGACCATGAAATTATAACAGAAGGGTCCCCCTGATGGTCAGCTGTCAATTAATAGCTGTCATCATAATATGTGTGTGCCCCCCGCTGGCAGCCGGTTCCAAGGCACAGATCTGTGTGCCTTCCGATCGTCGCTGCTCTCCCCTGCTTGTATGGGCAGAGACAGCAGGGATTAGAAGGCACACAGTGCTTCAGCCAGAGGAGGAGTGGTGACAGTATGTGAACAGGGAGAAGACAGAGCTTCGTTGTCAGGATGGAGAGTGGTGGTGCTGGGCGGAGCTTCAGGATAGAGAGCGGAAGATCAGCAATTATGTGAAATATTTGCTGATCCTGTACTAGGCTGAGCAGTTATTCAGATACTATATGAATCAATGTATATAGAGTTTGGGAACTAATTATGGCGTTAAGGTGATACCACACCCCAAGCAAAGTATATAATGTTAAAACATGCGAGGGCTTTTTAGGTATCAAGAACACCATTGATGGTCAGTACAAAAAACATTTATTAAAACTACATCTTTATTAGTACAAAGTTATAAATGAGTTTACATAGTTAATTACACAAACTGATCCTTCCTTCAAATCTAGCATACACTCATGACCTCCCATATAGAAGTACCACCAATGTTGATTATTTGTCCAATGACCATAAAAAGTCTAATTAATGCCATATTATCGTGATGTCATGGTATCAAGGGGTGCCAATACTCCTCAACGCATTTCACACTCAATATAGGAGCTTCAGAAGGAAGGAAGAGGATGCTCTACATAAATAAGTATTCATGAAGGTGAGTACTACATTATAACATAATGTGTATCATAATTACATATATTGGAATAGTTATGAAAAATGTCACTACATGAATATCTAATGACCTGCTACATTGGTGTGACCTCGTGAAGGAAGAAAAGATGTCTATAAAAACCAGAGGGATGATCCCCGCAATGTCAGCTGGTGGGACTAGCTAAACGGCCATTTGGAGGGGAGAGCTCAAGGACATAGGGGCCCTAAAATGTCTTAAATACAATGCCTTCGTTACTAATAGGCAACAGTTTATCCATTCCAAAAAGCGGCAATGTGAACAATCTAAAAGCCACAAAGAGGGGCCCATTTCCCACTGTATTTTACTTTGTCTTTGAGTAATGCTATTGTCTCCACGGAAGCTAGCTGGCGGCATCGCTTCCAAACACCATGTGTATCTCCTTAAATATGGCTGATGGTGTTTGTAGCTCTCGCGTGCGCTGGCCACATGGGTGTATCTACTGCAAGGCAAACTAGGCATTTGCCTAGGGCGGCACTTTCCAGGGGGGCGCCAAAAAATGCTGCCCCCAAGCCAGTCAGATGGACCTGGTGCTTCTTTTACTGGGGGACCAATGTGTCAACCTATGCCGCCTACACCTACATATATGCGGGTTGCAGCTCCTTCCTCTTCCTGGTCAACATGCTGTGCAATGTATTGGTGTGTGTGACTTTCATCCGGATGCACTGGAAGTTCATGTGCCGGACCACCATGGGAAACCGTCACCCAAATCTCTGACTTCAGGCAGCGGAGGAGCTTCCTCAGGACATCAGGGCTGAAATCCAGATGGTCATCGTGCTCATTGGAACCTCCGTGGTGGTGAGTCCGGGGAAGTGCAGCCCATAGAGGGCCCAGCATATTAAGACAGAAGATCGGTGTTGCAGCTGCATAACTAGAGACTAGCACACAATGGCAGCGCAGGAGAGAATGGTTATTGTAGCTGCAGAACTAGGGAGCCCATCAAGCCAAGAGTGGAGAAGTAGGCTATTGCAAAGGTAGAACTAGAGTGTCACGCTACGTTGATAGCGCAACCTGTCAGAATCTAGATACACTGTGCGCGCTGCATCACGCCACTGACAGGTTATGCAAAATGTCTTAAACAGGAATGGGTGGGACTAATTTAAATTAGGGATGGGGGGGGTGCTCGGGTTTAGTCTTGCCTAGGGCAGCACAAAACTAAAATACACCACTGGCTGGCCACATGATACTTGCCTTTCCGGCCGCCAATGCGCTTGCACAAAAAGTTGTGTAATGCGCATTGGCTTAGGTTGGGGATCTGAGTGGAAATGAACAGCTACAGAGATGCACATTACCCTCAATCAGGGCAAATTTTAATATGACATAAAAGTCCTACATTGCACTCACATTAGTAGGTTAGGAGAAAGCCTACACAACACCCATAGTGCTTCAGACCTCTACCTCGCTCTATGCCAGGGGTAGCCGTTCAGCTGCTGAGGAACTACATGTCCCATGAGGCATTGCAAGACACTGACAGCCACAGGCATGACTTCCAGAGACAGGTGCATGTTGGGATTGGTAGTTTCAGCACAGCTGGAGGGCCGCAGTTTAGCCAGCCCTGCTCTAAGCCTTCCGCAGGCCACCAAGAAAGAGGTCTGTAGCACTGCCACCGGTGTCGTGCACGCTTTCCCTTACACTTAAAATGTGTGTATAATGTTGGCCTTTTATACCATATTAAAGTGTCCACTTACTACACTGTGTCAGGGCGCTAAATTCAAAAGATGGAAGTTCCACTACACACGTTTAGTTCTGAATAATGGCTGTGGGGGGCAAACTGTGGAGATGATTAAACATTGTAAAAATAGGTTACAAGTAATGCACTCTTCAGTAAAATGTGTGTGTAGAAAACTCAGAAACTGCGGTTTGTTGTCTGGGCTAATTTTATAAAAGTCCCTCATAGTTGGCTTGTGGGGGTGATGGTGAGGGTCGCAGTTTGTCCGGCAAGGCAAAAACAGACAAGATGTGGGGACTTGATGAGAAATCAGAAGTCACATGAGAGAAAGGCTGTTTGTGGCCTTCTCTCCTCCCACTGACACCATCAGACAGTTCCTAGCCTGCAGTATAGTCCTGGTTACCATAGCAACAGTGACTGCTACTGACAGAACAGGAGTAGCCCAACACTTGAAAAACATGTAAGAGAAATGGAGGCACATACAAAGCATAATGTACAGCCACTGTCACCTCCCTTTTCTTCCAGATACTAATAATTTGACTAAATTATATCATAATAAAACCATTTTTATAAGGCAGCCTTTCTCAACCAGGGTGCCTCCAGGTTTCCTCAGGGGTGCCTTGAAATTTTCACACAGTGTCCTGCCTCCAATGTGAAGGGGGCTCCTGATGTGATAGGCGGTGGGGCCCCTGATGTGAAAGAGGGGGACTCTGATATGAAAGAAGTTTACTTCTGATGTGAAGGGGGGCTCCTGATGTAAGGAGGGAATGTGAAAGGGGGAATGCTATTTTTTGTGTTTTTGCATGGGTTCCCCCTTTAAAAACCATATCAGACAACAATCTTGGATAAGGGTCTGGTATGGATTATTTATTAAAATGATTTTTTACATTTTAGAAAGGTCTGCCTGAAGATTTTTCATATTTTTAAAGGGTGCCGTGGCCAAAAAACACTGAGAAACACTGCCCTAAGGGCCCGCATTGCGGTGACATGCGTTTTTGCTTTGTGGTACAATTAATTCTGAGCAATGGCCCTGAGTGGTGTGATGGGGCCCCTATGGAGAATGTGTCAGGCTAAGTAGGTCTTGTGAACAATTTAAGTGAATGAGCTAGACTGGCGTAATACAAATCTTTATCTCTTTTTATAAGGCCACTGTATGTAAGTTGCACACATTTTATATCATGGCGTTGGTAAAAAAAAATAATAATGCTTGACAAATACATCAAGATTTCAGCTCTTTTAGTGTCTATCTATCCTATCTATCTATCTATCTATCTATCTATCTATCTATCTATCTATCTATCTATCTATCTATCTATCTATCTATCTATCTGTGTGTCTATGTATCTGTCTGTGGAAGTGAATATTTGCTATCAGCATCTGGTATCATGTATAGTATTTGCTCACAGTGTATGTTTTCACCTGTATACTTATCTTTGCCCATTTAAAAATATTGCAGAAAATGGCGACACAAGGTACAGAGCAGACTGAAACTTGGATTACTACCGTCATCATGAGTAGTATTCTCAAGGTATTGCTGATTGTCCCTGAACACTATGAGGTGTATTTATAAGCATTTATCAGAGCCATTCACCCTGCAAATATCTGTGAATGTTTGTTTTGTGCAAACATGTATGTGGTTAGTATATTTTCTTTTCAGGTCGAATTTAATATTTGGAAAATACCACATTATGGCCACTAGATGGAGCTGATGAGCATAGGAAATAAGTACTTATTCCCTAGAAATAGATCCCTGTGCATCACATTCGATGCTAGTACACAAATACACTGTTACAAGGTATTGGGTCCAAATCAAATACTTTCGGACTATGCCACAATAGTGATACTGACACAGTGGTGTCAACTTGGGGAGAAGATGCACTGTCAAAAAAGTGGGTGTGGTTTATTTGATTAAGGGGTGTGGTTTTCCAAGAAACTCAAATAATCGCTCCAATCACCTTACAAATATTTCCCCATGCAAACAATAATAATGATAACAACAATAATGTAATTTTATTGTAATACCCAACATGTCTGAAAGTACGGAGCTTACCAAATCCTCTTCACAAGATAAACACTCCACCCGTCACCAACATCCACGTACAAAGCCAGACTTTCAACATCCAGACAGTGAGTGACTTGATAGGTCTGCCCCTTATAGCTTCCATATTACACTGCATCCCCTGCCCTCGTAGCCCCCACATTACATTGCACCCCCTTCATAGCCCTAAATATTATCCTGCACTCCTCTCATGGATGCCCACATTACACTGTACCCCCATAGCCCACTACAAACCACATGCCCCCTAATGAGACATAATGAGGCATAATGAGGCACCATAGCATGCACACTGCCCCTCACATGTACCTGGTGAACTGCTCATCAGGCAGCTCTTCTCTCTTACCCCGCTCCCCATTTTGTCGATCACATGTCCCTTCACTAGCTAAGGATCAACCCTTGAGAGGAAAATGTCAGCCCTCCCTACCTTTTCGGGGTCCACCTCAGACCTCTGGGGGTCAGGGGGGGTACTACACAGACCCTTCACCTGCCTACAATTGTCTCTTAAAGGGTCCTTGATAACCCAAAAAAAACTGTACAATATAAATTGCAGCTAGATGGACATTTAGTTACTTTCTGGTGTGATAAGTATGTAGTTCCTCTTGCAGGATCATGAGGTAGCAACATCCTTACAAAGCCAACAGCACAAAGTGCGTTTTTCAGAATCTGTGCAAAGTGGATCTGTAATTTTTCCGCTCTCTGGTAAGTAACAATAGCTGTATCAAAGGTGGGTCTCAATGTGATGCTTCTCTTTCTCCATCTTCGGCCTTTTCCTGCCTTCGGTGCCATTGTACTGCTACATAAAAACTCGTATAAGAAAAAGGCCTGGAATTCTTTAGCTTGCCATTCAATTTTCTCAATAAATTCATAGCAGTCCAGAGAAATTCCCATAATAGCAGGTAGATTCTACCTCAGTTACCATTAATTACTGGCCAACCTGGGGCCTACCCCTGGTGTTCATCTCAGGCGAGGAGCAAGTACCAGCCTAGGATTGTCATGAAAGCAATGTTTTAAATTTTCATGAAGGTCCATATTAAAGTTGGAAAGAAAGTAGGTACCCCTGCACTCTTTACAGCTTCTCCGGCCCAAATCACAATAATGGTGCTCGTAGTGATAATCACGGATGGCGCTGTGCACATCAACCAGTAGAAAGCAGGAATCACCAGCACTCGATAAGTAATATTCAAATAGTAACGTCCATTTAATCGGACAAATCATCACATCACACTAACCAACGTTTCGGGGCCACGCAGGGTCCCTTCATCAGGGCAGTAATGTGACCCATTGCCCCCATGTTCATTGTGCTGATAATGGCTAGTAATAATCAAGTGCTAAAGGCAGCATTTAGGGAGTTTTTAAGGCGTAGCTAAAACCAACAGGGTTCCACTGTAAAATCTGAACTGTATCCAAACAAATATAAGGATAGCGGCTTAATCATAGACTCTGATTGAGCACATGTTGGGGTAAAATGCAGAAGAGATGTCCTTCTTGATGTTTCCTCATATGCCTATTTGAAACAATAAAGAAGGTGCATATTCATTTTGGAGTGCTGCTATCCATTTATTTGATAATTAGCAGAGGTGAGCTGGGCTGGCACCCATCAAGCAGATAAAGGTAGACCGGTCTGGAGCAGCACTGCTTCTGGATTGATATCACTGAACTGGGTCCACTTGTGTCTTAAGTAACTTTTCAGACTGTTGTCCTTATGTTAAATGAGAACTATGAGGTGAGTGCTTTTCACAGGTCGGCTCAGTAGATCGGGAGGTGAGCGAACACATACCGGCGTTCGCTCACCTCTCGATCCTATCACGCCTCTCTGCCGTGACAGGGGAGGGGCTGGATTCCCCCCGCTCCGATCCTCCAGCGCTGACTGGCGGAATGGATGGGGGGGGGGGTACAGCTGGCTCTGGCTCTAGATAGGCAGAGCCAGCTGTCAGTCACACAGCTGGGCGGATCCCGGCACAATTGTCGGGATCCGCTTCAGCTGTGGCGTCTCAGTATACCGCGAGCTGTAGCTCGCGGTATACTGAGCTTAGGGTAACGGGAGGACGCTACTTTGTGTCCTCCCATTACCCTAAGGAGAACTATGGGGAAAAGCCTTAACCCCATAGTTCTCCTTTAAGCTCATGGGTACCAGTTTTCAATGATATAAGGCTCTGTTTCCTTTTAAAGAAAGTGTTGAGAATAACCAGCCCCTCAAGTAAGCTGTACATATTGCAAGGGGTTTAGCAAAGTGTATTGCAGATACCCAACTTTTCCTGAACTCTCACAGGAAGGTTTGGTTTCAAGGAATAGACTTTTAGATTTAATAGTCAGAATTACAAAGTCAGAGTCGCTGCAGATTACACATGTTGTACCACATTCAATTACTAAATGACTTGGGTAGTAGTTCTAAAGTGGATTTTTAAATAATTCTACCATAGTCTCAATCCCCAGATCATAAAACAGGAAAACAGATTGAATATATATAGTTGAGTAACAGATCAAATATGTCTATACATAAATATTCTGGATAGATTTTATATTTATATATTAGATTTTTAATATTTATATGTTTTTCATTTAATCTGTGACTCAGGTTAATGAATGGAAATGTCTACGTTCTGTTCATAAAGAAATTGTGCTCAGACATTCCGTTTCATACTAATGTGGTTAGGCCAATGTGCTTTGTTAAATATAATACTATGTACTATGATGATATTCTCAGTGGGAGATTCAATCTCTCATTTTAATTACATACACATACGCAGTGCAAAGATCTAGTTTCCCCAGTCAACTGAACATTTTCTTTGATATGTTTTCTAAAGATAACTTACCACTTTATACCCTCCGAGCTGATTTGCATTGTAGCAAAATGGCAATTACGGTCCATAAATAGTAATTCTGCAGCTTTCTTGTTCCAGTGTTTCACTGTAATCTATGCAATGTTGGTTACAAATGTTCAGATGCTTGAAAGAACTGAAAGCACTTACAGGGCATGTTCATTTTTTTAATACAGATATCGATTGAAGAACTGTTTTCTTTCACCTCATGTCTCTGCTAAAGTGATATTAAAGTCAAAAGGTTTTTAGCTATTTCAAATGGGTGCTGCTCCTTGATGTTTAAAGTTTGAGCTTCCTGCAGAATCAGCTGGTCCCCTGAGGACTGGCCCTGATATCCTGTTGTAGGGTGGCTCCTTTCCCTTGCAGGGTCCTATGGAGCCACCCTTGTGTGTGTGCTAGTTAGATGTGTGTGTCTCCACAAATGCAGCAAGGCAAATCACTCCCCTGCTCCACGCTCTCCTCTTCTACTCCCTTCTCCAAGTTAGTATATGGACAGCTGCTGGAGATTGCTCTGTCCCTTGTGATTTTGTACTGGACGCCTGAAAGCGTTTGATGCAGCTGTTCGGAAATATGATGATTGTAAGTGCTTGGGCAAAAATGTAAAGCAATACTTTGATGGCAGTGGCGGAACAATCTCAAAAGCGACCCAGGCGGCCGCTATGGGGCACAGGGGGGCCCGGCCAGGACATCCCCCTGATGCTGTGTGGGCCGCCTGGGTCGCTAAGGCATCACAGGCTGGTGGCTGTCGCTGCCGACTGAGAGGAAGAACACGCTGCTGTTCAGGTCACTGTTAACCTGTCAGTGGACTGTGCAGCGACGCGTTCCTCCTCACAGCTGCTGCTGAGTCAGTGACAGCCACCAGCAGATGAGGAGGAGACTGGGCCCAGCGTCGGCGGCGAAGGAGGAAGCGGGCCCGGTGATGGAGGAGGCGGGGCCAAGCAACGGAGGAGAGTGATTGGGGCTAACAGGTAAGAGGGTTTGACCAACCTACCTTGAGACCCTGTAGAGCCCACCATAGAATGTCTATGGTGGGCTCTGTAGGGTCATTCTCAAGTGGGTTGTTTGGGATATCAGGTGGGCGTAACTAGAAATCACAGGTCCCCATACTAAATTTTGCTAAGGGGCCCTGTATTTGTAAGAGTATTTGATGTGGATTCATTATCGCAAAAAAGAGAGTTTAATACTACGTAAGCCTAATAATTGCTTGACTATCATGCCACCGTCACTGATCTGGAACAAGCATGCTGTAAATAAAGTCAGTACACTAAGAAAGGAATTAACGCTGAGAATCTCCATAACTGCCAGGCTGCAAGTATTTTCAAAAGGAGAGGTCAGCAATAAAAACAGAGGATTTTTTGTGTCTCATAAGACTTGAAAGGTAACAAAATACATTATTTCAAAATCATTTTGCTGGCCATACAGTGTTCGTTCAAACATTTTCCAACTGGCTCCTTCGATCTGCTGATCAAGGGATGCTGGCCGGAATGCTGCTGACAGTGGCACCCGATGTGTACATTTTAGCTGGTTCATGAAGATTAATGGAAGGGAACTCCATGCAATCCTCAAATTTGTGCCAAGAAACCCAGATTTACAGCACAAGCTCTGGAGATCTGTGTTCGAGGAAGCCATTGACTGGAATTCATGAATTTACCATGAAAGACACCATTATTATTGCTATTTGTATACAATCCCTAGATATTCTGTATTGTATGTACTACAAGACACTTCCCTTTTATATTTACAATGTATTTTTCACTTCCCTGTGTGTTAAGGAATTGCCTTCTTGTTGGCAAATGCTCAGGAACTATTTGATACACCCGGTGAAGTGGTGCATGATAGAATACAGAAGTTTATATCTGTTCATCGAAACAGCTTCTTAGTAATAGTGGCAGCTCTCCATGGACCAGAGGAATGGGACCTAATGTTCAGAATTCAGCTGAGGTATAGATTTACATTTCAAATCACTTTCCATTAGCTGCATTGCTTATAAACATCTGAGTGCATTCATTTGTGATGTGTGTGGATTTGTAGATAATTATAAACCATCTAAGGGTAATTTTACCCATATCAGTCTACAGGGCCTCATACATAGAATCCATGTCCACAAACACATTTATATACACATGTACAGTCATATGCAGACATCTGGGCATCTTTGGTCAAATGATATGTTATGTTGAGTTGCTCAAAGAAAAGAAGTTGACAATTATTCGATTCAGGAGGCAGTCTGCCCAATCGAGAAGCCAGCAGGAAATTTTTAGGAGCCAGCTAGAGAAAAACTTAAAAGTTAGACACCAGCTGTCATTTGTAAGGCGCATTAGCTATCTGGCCAGCCCTGGTTTACACAACCATTACAGAAAAAGTGGGAGCAGAAATGATGGGGAAAGTAAATAGTTAATGAGCCCTCAGAAGCAGAGCATGAGGCTGGATTTACATCAGCAGCTTCTGAGCCACCTAAGCACAGTACTGCATCTGCACCAGAGAGCTGAATGAGGGCTTCCCACACGGGTCTCATCTCCCCAAGACTGATTGGCAAGAGATATTTGCTTACACCCAAATGGACCCAACACAATACTCACCCACTGCCAACTAGGACGCATACACCTTACTTCAGATCCCTCACTTTCAAAATAAAAGATCAGGTTCCAGAGGGGGGAAATTTTGTGATAACAAGCACATTCAATAGCCGGAGGGTCTCATGGTTTTAAAATCACATATCAATACTGGGAGCCATGCTTTCTTTTATTAAGACACCTGTGTGCAAACATTTGGTCAAAGTACCATGAGGGGAATTTATCAAAACTGGAGTGCACAAAATCTGAAGCAGCTGTGCATGACGACCAATCAGCTTCTCTCTTTCATTTTCAAATCTTAACTAAACAAACTGGAGAGAAGCTGATTGGTTGCCGTGCACAGATGCTCCAGATTGTGCCTGCTCCAGTTTTGATAAATTCCCCTCCATGTGTCTGCCACTGTTATCACTGGGTGAGTATCATAGCTGGTTCCAGCATGCTTGAGTGAGGATAGGGCAGGTATCTTCTGCCGTCGTGCTGGAATAATGTCATCCCCAGCTACCATTTTCTCAGTCATTGTACAAATGTTACCTTTCCATGGCACTACATTTTGTGAGGGCTCAATCACACCAGCTGTGGTGACTGGCATCTTTCCACACTGGACCGACACCAGTTAACACACGGACACGCATGTTATTTTGCATGCAGCCCGTTCACACCACATGCTGTATTTTCTTTGCAGTGCACTGGATGATGCAGGAGGTCACTGCACCACAGTGTATGACTTGAAGGAGCTGTAGTAGTGAGTAGGCCAAATTAAGTAGCTAAACCACTGCCTACTCTGCTGCTGCTCTCCAACCACATTACTATTTACCAACCACAGACACCCCTGCTACAAAAGTTTATTGGTTAATGCCTGACAATTAAAAGAAAGGATTTCCTATTCCAAAGCACTTCCAAGACATATTCATTACCTGTGGCTTTGATGTTAGGGAAAGTCCAAGGAGACATAAATCCATCTCATTTCCCTGAAGAGGCAGATGCGCCATTGGATACTTGCCATACATAAGCTTAGTAGTGACATCATTTATATGATGAATAAAAGAGAGGCTGTCTGGCACAAACCATTCTTTACATTTAGCTCCATCGCTATCTGAAGTCTGATCATCAACCTGTTATAACTTACATTTTCTTATTTATCTATTTGCAGATTCCTTGGAAGTAATTTGCGAATAATTCCTGCGCACAATAATGCAGATGTTGTTAAAAGCATGTTAACAGTGACAAAGGCAAGTATGTCATATATTGTTTTTTCCATTGTTTGATTAGTAGGCTAACCCTGCTGTGTACGGAGGCCCATTCTGGATTCCCTTTCATGTATATAAAGGAGCCCATCCAGCCTTGCAGTCCTGCGAGTACCTGCAATCACAGTTGTTCCTTGCTGATAAAAACTGTAGGCTGGATTCACACCTATGCGTTGCAGCAACACTCTAATGAATTACATGGATGGCACTTTGCACGGTGGCATTCATTAAGAATTAGCACACCAACGCATAACAGAAAACTGCAGTGCACCACAAATCACATGCTGTACTTGGTTATAAAAAGAGAGCAGGTCCAGTTTTTCATCGGTTGCTATGTGTTGGTAACCCAGAAAATGAACCATAAGAGAGTTGAAAGGTGTTTAGGGGGCCTTAATTCTGGCTATGTTACATCATTTCATTGAATCATATCATTTCAAATAAGAAAGGTCTACGTGATCACATTCCAACATTAGGAGATTTGTTAGAACTAACGGGCATATATTTAGGGCTGTCTTTAATATTGATTGGACCCTGGGCTAACATCTTCTTGGGCCCCCCATCCCTACCCTCACTGCACCCCCTACACGCCCAGTCCCCACCATGCAATGCATAGCAGATAGGAGGTGACATCAGAGGGAGACGTGACCCCGCATGAAATGTAGCGTGGTCACGCTATGCACTGTATGGCAGGGGCAGAGCAACAGTATGCAATGCTTAGTGAACAGAATGGTGCGGCGGCTCAGTCGGCAGCTGCTTTGGGCCCTACAACAATGACTGGGCCTCGGGCAACTGCCCCTTTTGCCCTGCGTTAAAGATGGCCCTGCATATATTAACAGTTTCACAGAGAAGTGCTTACGCATAACGCTTAATACCACCTCAGTTGTTTTATTGAATGGCATCACTTAATACGAGACTAACACATATTAACGTGTGTATGTGTGTCTCATACATCAGCAGATTATTATCTACCAGCATGTTATATCTAGGCCTTATGGTAAGGCTTCCCCAAGATAGGATGCCCCAGCTCCTGGCAGATCAGCATCTAGTAGCCAGGCTGCCCTTCAAGAACAAAACATTACAAACAGATCTTAATGGAGATCTAATTCCTCATTAAATTCCATTGAATTTGGCAATACATTGTGTTCTAAATGAATGCAATTTTTATAAATCAAATTCTTTTTACCTTTTTTTTCCCCCGCATCTGATGCTAATCTCCTGCAGCCTCCTTGCTAGTTCCTGTCAACGCATTCCAGCATCTGTTACATGTCCTGTCTCAATACAGGTTTACTGATAATAACACTGGAGCATGCCAGTGGAATGTGCGTCGGGATGGCCGCTTGCAGTCTCCATTGGGAAAGTATGTGGCAGGGTGACGGCACACAATAAAAACTGGAGGCAGGGACAGAGCATTTTCACCCTATAACAGGCATTGCCTGAACAAGACCATCATGATAGGGTCACCGGGTATTATTTTAATGAAAGCTGCACATTCATTACTTTTGTATTTATATGAACATGATAAAGCTTATAGGAAATGTTAGCGATTGGGGTTTTCATATACTTTAAGAACAACACCAGGCAAAATATTTAGTGACCCTTCCACAGGGGCTACCCCCGCACTGCAAGGGTTAACGGCTCTTTTTAATCTACGGGTTAAAATAAAAAAAACTTATACTCACCCGATCCTCCAAGGCTTACTCTGAGACTAGTCCTTCCAGCATCCCTCCGCTGCCGTGGTCTAAGGTCCTTGAGTCATCACGTTCTATACACATGTATAGGATGTGAGCATGCCAAGGGATGCAGTGGTGGAGGGAGCACTGTCACAGCCGGACCTTCTCCGAAGTTCGGATGAGTATAACTTTTTTTTTTTTAATTCAGTTCCTAGATGAAAAGGAGCAGTTAACCCTTGCAGTGTGGGGACTGCCCCACTGCAAGGGTTGATACATTGCTGGAGTTGTTCTTTAAGCAGGTAGACAGCTTGGATGAAGAACAGAAGCCCTGGGCAGGGCTGTTCCCTGTGTATGCTATTCATGTTATTCTTTGGCTAGAGTATACATAGAAAAAAAACATACTTGACTCATTGTGCTGACTCTTCACAGGCCACATGCAAACCTCACATTGAAAACATACTGGACAAGCTTCTGCAGGCTAAGATGTATATTGTGGAAAACAGTCCAGTGTGGAAAACTCTCGAGCAGATATGATGCCGCGGCTCATCGAAAGTGTCTCATTACCTGTCGTAATTCTTTGAATTTGTTTAAATGCGTTTCATTCATTTTCTAGTTGTTAATATGTCCATGTTATGTCAGATGGATTTACATCAGCAACATCATTCCTGTAACATTCACCACCAGCTTAGCTAGAGGTCAGTAAACACTGCATCTCCCTTATGTAGTTGTACAGCAAATTCAGTGCGATTGTCTTATTTCATTGCACAATAGAGAATATATCTTTCTGCAGCTTATGCTGCAATCATGTGGTGTCAGAAAATGGGAAATACAAGGTTCTGTATTTTCCACAAGAATGTCCTCACAACTGAGCGGGGAAGATGCTTCCTGATTTATCCAAGTTGTAATGTCACAATTCCCTTTAATGAGCCCCTCCACCAATGTAAGAAATTGCAGCTAGAGGCAGAAAAACTCAGTTACCTGCAGTGTTGCTGTTTGCTTACATCACAGCCCTATCCCCCCCTGGGAGTGTCTAATTACTGTCTTTGCCGGCCCAGCTCCTCTGCCCCTCTCTACATAACCGTTACTGTAGCTGTCGGAGGAGGAGGAGTGTAAGGGAATACCATGGAGTGTATGGATATTCAGATATCAAGTACCAAACTAGGTACAAGTAGAGGTGCACAGAAATGAAAATTTCAAAACCGAAAATGTATAAAAGAAATGTCAGGCCGAAACCGAAAATGTTTTTTTTTTTTCTAACCTTTTTAAAATATATATATTTTTTTCTTTATTGTTGGGGGCTTCAGGGAAATATTAGGGGTCTGGACCGATCCCTCATATTTCCCTTTTAAAATAGAAAAAAGGGATTGAGAACACTTTTTCTGCAGCCCCTGTTATAAATGAATGGGAAACCTCTATACTGAGTGTTCCTGTTCATTCATAACTTGTGGAGATAGTATGTTTACCATGTCCACAATCATGAATGAACAGGAAGTGATGTAGATCACTTCCCATTCATTCATAATTGGGGACACTGTAAATAATTGTGGAGATAGTATGTTTACTAACACTGAGCGATCACTGACTGCTTGCACCCGCTCTCCATCCTGACTGGCTGTCACAGGAGGCTGAGCGGGTAGGTGTGGAAGAGCTCAGCCTCCTGTGACAGATCAGGAGAGCGGGCGTTGTGGGGGTAGAGACGCCTGTCAGCTGTCGTAGGAGGCCGGCGGTGCAGAGGAGGAGTCACCCGTCAGAGGAGATCGAACTCTCCTCCCCGCACCGCTCGTTCAGCCTCCTTTGACAGCCAGTCAGGATGGAGAGTGGGAGCAAGCAGTCAGTGATCGCTGAGTGTTTGTAAATTTATTGTGTAGATAGTATGTTTACTGTGACAGAGAGAGCGGCGGTGTGGGGGTGGAGACAGCTGTCCCACACCGCCGCTCTCCTAGTCTGTCACAGGAGGCTGAGTGGTGCAGGAGGAGAGACCCCAGCCGCTCACAGTGCTCCCCCCCCCGCACCGCCTGGCCTCCTGTGACAGTTTCTCTCCTCACTGGGACACAGAGCAGCGCCCAGCGGGGAGTAGAGAAAGCAGGGATGCACGGCACTTTCGGCTGACGAAATTTCGGTGCATCCCTAGGTACAAGTACAGATACTTTACCAGCTCCTAGACTAGACTAGAGAAAAACGTAAAAGTTACCGTGTTTCCGCGAAAATAAGACACTGTCTTATTTCGTGCAAAAAAAATATTACAGAAATCCCTGAAGATAGTGCTAGGTCTTACTTTCGGGGAAACACGGTAGGAGGCAGCTCTCATTTTTAAGGAGCATTCAGAGCTCCTGGGATTTGTGCATTCCCGTTTTAATGTATGTAATGTTTAATTTTTTGAGTGATGCACCGATACCATTTTTTCAAGTACTGATACTTGTCCAAGTACCCACAGATACAAGTACGGATACATTTTTGTTTATTGCCATGTGACAGTTTTTCTAAAACAATACAGACTAATGATTTCAGGACAGTGGTGGAGCGCCAGAGCCAGGTCCCAGCTGCAACTGGTACTGGAACATCCTTAATAGAATGTCACTTTAGTCTACTGGGGCTGCTGACATCACATCCAAGATGGTGGTGCCCAGCAACAGTCTCAGGTCTTTTGGATGTCTACACAAGGGAGGCAATAGCATGCACTGACTTTAGATGAATCTTACATAATAACGCATATTTAATGAAAAAACGTTTTAAAAACTTGGACAAGTATAGTGAAAATCAGCTGAATCTTCATCTTATAAAATTTTTAATGCCTAAGAGTTGATGATAAATACAGAACAGAACAAGTTAAACATCTTTGCTTGACCCAATTTTCTCCTCTGGCGCAGATTTTAGTTTCACTTCAATGAGCTCCTCGACTCTGGCTAGGACACTTTCCATTAAATCAAATGTGAAAAGAGCTGACTGTAGAACCTAAAACGTCAAAAACAGTTAATGTTGTTTAGATATGCATAATGACACCATACAACGCAGGGCACAATATAGAACATAGTGATCACAACCAGGCAGCTGCACACAGCTAGAGGTCTACAAAAACAAAATATTGCGTACCTGAAGCTGCATTGCAGGAGTCATGTCAGGCAACTTGGTCCCTCCAGCGCTCACAGAACAAAGGGTTTTAGAATGCGGCCCTGTAATACACAGCATTCATCATAAATACATCAGCCAGAGGTGTCACAGGAGAAGATCATCTTCTAGCACACTGAATGCAAACTGCTTCTGGAAAGGGAAAAGAGATTAGCAGTACCCTATTAAGGTGTACGAGTTATGACATGACGTCTCTCTGCTGCAGCTGATCTCTGGGCAGCACAAACTTTATATAGAAATATCCCTTTCCTTCTACAGAAAATTAATCCTAACACATTTCTTCAATGCCTGGCTTCCGAATAGAGATATTTATCTCTTCAGAGAGTCAATGGCGGTCCTGCAGGCAGGCATAAAGGTGAATTGGTGGGTGGTAACGGGGGAGCAGAACACTCCCCTGTCATTGCTGCATTATCAGTGTGGCACACCTTGAAGGGGAGATGGGCAGAGGGGGATGGAGCTGAGTGAAGGGGGGGTTAAAGCAAAACTCCGGGCAAACATGTTCTTAACCCTTGCAGTGGGGCTACCCCTGCACAAAAAAAAGAAGAGGTTATACTCACCCCAATCCTTGGAGCCGACAGACTCGTCATTGGATCCTCTCTACCCCTACGCTGCAGCGGTCTAAGAATCCTTCAGTCATCAGATTCTATGCACAGAGTATAAGGCGTGAGGATGCCGAGGGGCATGCTATTGCTGCAGTGGAGAAGACAGGCTTTAGGGACTGGAGTAGCAGCCAGCCAGCTCTGTGGGTAGCCCCGCGGCAAGGGTTAAGAACATTTTTGCCCGAAGTTCTGCTTTAACTCCCCTTCACTCAGTTCCATCTCCCTCTGTCCATCTCCACTTCAATGTGTTGCACACTGATAATACAACGATGACAGGGGAGTTTTCTGCTCCCCTGTGACCACCCACCAATTCACCTTCATGCCTGCCCACCGTTCTCTCTTCTCACTGTGCCTTCTGCTTTATGTAAACATCTCCAGCATTTAAAAGTGAGATCCTGCTACAGCACACAGCGCTGATGTCATCACGCAGTATGGGGATTGCTTACAGCTACATATGGGGGGTAAGATGACGGGCCAGCATAGTGACAGCAGGCTGAGGTGACCGGTACCCACAAAAGGGAGTAGGTGTCTGCATGCTGTGAGAAGGCAAGCTCTGAAGCCTCTTGGGGAAGAGTGGAACATACTGTGAAGAAATGAATGGCTAATACAGATAACAAGAGCTTGCAGTTAAATCATCCAAGTTATGTTATGTCCCCTGAGTCCAGCTTTAAGCAACAGAACTAGAACACCTCCCTGCCCCCAGCCTGTGACCAGACAGTGATGGAGAAACAACAGACTGCTGAGCTCATCTCTCTCTTCTCTACTCCTGTCAGTATGTTCCTTGTTAATGCATTTGCATGCAAGGCACCTGGTTAGCCCCCGAGTGCTGCTGTACAAAGGGCTGAAATCAAGTAAAATTGCACTGAAAAAGAAATTATTGATTTTTCTTTCTTTGTTTTCCAATAAACACATAATGCCATCTGGTTTTTCTTTAAATATATGTCTAGAGTTGAAATCTAACCTTTTTCTCATAATAAATGTATCTTCCCAAAGCATATAGGTGAATAATAATAATATTAATAATTAAAATAAATATTATTATTATGATGATATCAGGGCTTCAAATGGCTCCATGTTCTGCTCTACTCTATGGACACCTCATTGAAATGCACAGTTCTCACCAGCCTCCAGCTTCCTGTACTTTAAGGTGTGATAATCTGTTACAATACCTTAAAAATGGATAAATAAATGTGTGTATAGGAATGCTTTTAGGAAATCACTAAAAAATATATTATCAATTCATGGAAAAAAAAAACAGAAACCCCAGGACTCACCATAATGAACATACCACACACATTATACTTCATTGAGTCGCATGAAATGACCGGATGACTTCATTCTCACCTTTCTTTTTCTCATTTGTGTTTTTTACTTCTGCTTCATAATGAGCTCTGGACATGCTAAGCCCGGTGTGAAGAGGCCTCAAGAACTGCGCTTCAATTTTATGTAGTTCTGTCCATACTCCAGTCTGGTCAATTCCAAAAACATAAAGTAACCGATCAATATATTTTTTTTTAATGATGAGAATGATTTGATTAGACATACAGTCACTTCAGTGTTTGCCATAAAGCCATTGTGGACCAACAAGTATCGGGATTTACGATTTGTGTTCATTTATTGCCAAATAAGCTAGCAATCTATAGACTTTTGTGGGAATCGCCAGCAGTTGTACAGGATCTTAAAGCGGAACTTAAGTCTGCAGTATTTAGCTGCCCTCTAGTAATACCGCATTATGTCCACTAGATAGAACAGGAAATAAATTCTTGTTTCCTCAGCTCCATCTAGTGGCCATAATGCTGTATTACATTACATTCAACCTGAAAAGATAATATACTAAGAACGTTTGTTTTTGCCTCTATTCACACAGAACAAAGGTTTCCAGAGATTTGCAGGGTGAATGGCTGTTTGAATTGTTTATAAACAGGCCCCATAATATGCGTCTTCTGCAATAACAAGCCTTCATGCTTGCAATGAAGTAAAGTTCCACTTTAAAGTAAATGTATGAAGGCTGCAGTTTCTGACCTCTCTTTGAGAAAGTGTTAGTTGCCTGTCTTTAGAAGCTTCTAAACCCCCTGACCCGAAACAAATATGAAGATAATTTAATTTGTTTTCACTTCCTGCATGGTTATTCTGGGTCCTAAACTTAGAAAATACTAAAGCCGGAGAATGCAGGCAACTAGACACATGGAATACAATACAGATACAAACATTTATTTGGCACCTGTAAACTGGTACTGCAAAACATATTTGATGAATAGGCTGTTTAAAGCCTCTTTCCTGTGAACAGACCAGGCCGTATACACAACCCACTGACAAGTCAGCAGGGACTGCAGCAAGATTGGTATCATTCCCTGAGCCAGCCATAGGTATACCCACCCACTCTGAGGTCTACCTATGGACACAGCATGGACTAAGGATAAGAGTAGTGGTGCTGGGAGGCTGGAAGCAGTGAAGAAATCCCACAGTGTAGGGTGCCATTATTTGGCTAAAAAGATACTTATTAATGCTCTAGGTGCACGATTGACTGGCTACAAGTACAAGAATATTACTTACTTCATTTATGAATTCATCATCCTTGATAACCAAGTACCTCAGAAGGTTGAGAGAAGCCATAATTCTGCATGAGAAAACAGAAATGAAAGATGAACTGCAGGCAAAAAAAAAACCTTTCATTACAATATATAACTGAATAGCCAACAAAAGACATAAATCTACTTTGTGCACACCAAATGCCTTAGCACAGCCAGTTATTACCTTGTTAAAGTACCAGTGACATCATCACTGTGCTGCACAGCTTACTTACAGCAGCATGGAGGAAGTTTGAATCTTAAAGCTGAACTCTAGACTTTACAATAACATACCACCTGCTATAAAAGGTGGCCAGCCTACCTGGAACAGATAATATTGGTATAAGCAACCTAAGTGCGGAGAAACCCCAATACCCTGTGTGCAGAACCAGCAAAACCATTTCATCCAGGCTGGTGACTGCTTTTTTAGTTCTCTTCTCCTATACAATGCAAGTCTAGTGTCTGACACACCCCCTGAGATAAGTATTCCCATCCCCTAGCTCTCTGCTTCTGAGTGGCTCTTTCACACAGGTGTGTGTAATACAGAAGTTGCAGCGTATACCGTATACTTCTTGACTAAAGCAGCACACATCTACAAATGGATCAGATGGGAGACATTTGTTTTAAGACTGAACAATGAGTATTTCAATGTATATTTTTAATAAGTTTATATTTAGCAGTAGTGTCAATTATGCTTTTTCCTGGGATCTGTATTATTTGATCGGAGTTCTGCTTCTATCATGAACATAAACCTATTCAGCAAAAACCATGCTGAGTATTGAACACACAGAGCTTCTATTTTTTTTCAGCTCCTCTATGTGTATCTAAGTGGTGGAGTCAGATCAGAAAAATATGTCTTCTACTATATGATGGATAGATGAAAGGAGACATGGGCATTGCAGAAACATCATGAACTAAACACAAGGCTGCATAGTTTAAGGCTGAACTCCGGCCTTCCACAGTTGTACAGGCTCCTCTCCTATACTAAAATGGCTTTGTCTGATTCCAGTGCACATTGTGAGCTTCTCACAGAGTGCATTAGAAGGTGCAGCAAGTCAGATAGAGCCTAAATCATCTCCTGGCTGGCGGCCACCCTGTATCATCTAGTGCTTTTCTCCTCAGCCTTACTACCCTTGGCCCGCCTCTTTCATTCATTGGATTTCAGTTCTTTGAATCATGGCGGCTCTGCATCACATGTGGACGTTGCCTACGGCAGTCTGCATGCAAATACAGTCTTCCTAGGCATGCCCACTCCTCAAGGCTGATATCCACCCATCAAGGCTTTTTAATATTTGCATAACTCCTCACAAGTACCAGCTAACTGCTGAGGGCTATTGATAAGAATACTGAGGCAGGGGGCTTTTTCAAGAAACTTTGTACAGCACCCTACCAGCCCCTCCCACCTGCCGTGATCTGCCTGCATTGCATAGAGAGCCAGTAATGGTTTTAAATGGATCTAAAATAGGGAAATTAACATAAAACGAAAAGATTGTATTTAAAAATCTCATTAGCATGTAAGCAAGGCTGGATTTACTCTCCCTACCGCCCCAAGGCCAGGTTCCGCAATACGCCCCGCCCCTACCCCCCCATTCCCCTTAATGGAGAATGTCAACCAGATGGCAGGGTTAGTTTCAATTTTTTTCTTACTGTTTCTTTAAACTTTATCACTTTTTATTTTTTTCTTATTTTTTTTATTTAATTATTTCATATTATTTTTTAAAATTTTTATTTATTTAAAAAAATGTTTTATTTATCAATGTCATTTTTTTTTCCACCTAACTTTATTGCTTTCCCCTCTCACTGTCTACACGGAGCAGCAGGGTTACCTTTAACCCTGCCGCTCACTGCAGTGAGGAGACGGACTCGGTGGCGGAGGACGGAACCAGAGGAGAGAGGTAAGTGCAGGGGGGAGGGGAGGAGGCTGCAGACTGTTTACATGTGATCTTGGCGACATCGCCGAGTTCACATGTAAACGAACAATCGGCTGCCTCACTCTACATTTAGTCCTGCTTGTGCAAAACAGGACTAAATGTAGAGAGGGCAACTTCCCCACAAAGACACCGCTGCTGCCCCTCTGCTCCCTGCCGCCCCGAGGCCGGGGCTCGGTGGCCTTGTGGGGAATCCGGGCCTGCATGTTAATGAGGGTAGGAGGGAAGAACCAATGAAAGTAATATATAAGCAGATCATCTTTAGCCTTACATTTACATGTCACTTATAAGACAATGTCATAAAAAAAAAGTCTAATTGAACCAACCTGTCAGAATTTTGTAGTAGATCAGTTTCTGCTTCTTCAGGAAGTGAGAGCACCATATGCAGAAGTGGGGTGAGACGAGTGCCTAAGAACCACCGGTTTTGGGTGTCAGTCTAATAGTCCAAAAGAAAACATCACAATTACATTTTCAAATGACAAGTTAAAACTGCACATTCTTCCAAATCAATGACTCAGGAAGTATTAGAGCCAGGGGGGTTGGCATAATCGCAAGGCACATAGCAAGGAGATCTGTAAATGGCAGCCCTCATATATCTTTGATAAGCTGGATGCCATCGCTCAGGTGAGATTCATTAGCAGGAGGGAGTGATGTACAGAGTCTGCAGATTTGTGGGCTCTGACATATGTTGTCTTCTTCATAATACTAGGCAGACAAAGCACTGCGGGTGTCAATAAATCACAAGAGCAAGTGCATTACTGTGGAATTATTATGGCAACAAAAGCCATTCTTATGGAAGTTTTATAAAGTTAGCTAGGGGGAAAAAAAAAAGAAGACTCAGGCCAGTAAAAGTAAAGCTAAACCCCAACCGGATGACATTTGGTTTGCTAATGCACTGCGATTATAAACAATTCAACTTGTTTTTAAAAGAAAGTTAGAACACTCTTTACACCTTTTTCATCCCATTTTGTATCTCAGGCTAGGTTCACACCTGGGCGATCCGTGACCATGCAGCAATCGCGCACAAAACCACGTGGATTACCGGTCAGTCACGGAGCCACCCAGCGCAGCCGATCGCGCTGGTGGTGCTATTATTTTCTAATGGCACCACAGTCGCGCCGGGCAGATTGCGTGGTTTCCCGCCATGATTCAGTCCGTGCAATTGAACACGATCATGGCTATAAAAAGCCGCACGTCGTGTGTTGCAAAAAAAAGGTACTTGTACCTTTTCTTAGCGAATGCTGCGTGGATGTAACCGCATTGAAATCAATGGGGCCATGCAGCAACCGCTGTGTGCACTAGCACACGGAGGCACGTCCCGGGTATCGCTCAGGTCTGAACCTAGCCTCAGTGCCTCTGATCTCCTCCTTTCTTTCTACATGTACTTGCTTCACGTCATGGTTCTGTACTGGCTTCCTGGAAGTGATAACAATAGGGCAGGACCAGTAGACCATGTGTAGTCTTCATCCGAGGCGTGTGTGGCAAGGCGACAAGACCGGAGCATGATATGGAGACAGTGTCATCTCATACAAGGAAGTGACTGAACAAGGACCTTCATGGCAGGATCACCAGGTATTATTTTAACAGTTTCCCTGCTGGCCCTTTCTTTGGTTTTCAAATGCTAAAATGTTTTTTACATGAAAATGCACTTAAAACCTCCAAAACTATTTTTTTTTCTGAAAATGGTGGTAGTTGCCAATTGTTAGGTCATATTTTATTATATTTGTGCAATTTTATCATATTTATATTTTCAGTAACAAAAACACTAAAATTGTAGTGCACACAAACCCAATATAGCCTCCAAAATGTCTGTTAAACATAAAAGATGAGTCCAGTTTTATCCCTGCATCTGTTATTCTCTCCTATATGTTGTTGTACATCCAACTATGTCAGGTGACCGAAAGAGTCCTTGTACCTTGTATTTTGTTGTTTTTTTTCTCTTTATTAAGTTGTTGTCCATGTCACTTTGTTACTTGAAAACTTAATACAAATATCTTTAGAAAATAGACTGCCTGGGTAAAAAAAAAAAAGTCCCACACATTTATGTTTAATTGGAGCACCTTTAGCTTTCATACTGGCACTCATTGGCTGTGGCTTCATTTCGATAATCTTATGCAATGTCGCAACATTTATTTCGGTCGAGTTGAATACATTTTTCACCAAGATCTTGTAGTGATGATGGGAGAGTCGGACCACTGCGTAGTCTTCTCCAGCACATGCCAAAGATTCCCAATGGGGTTAAGGTCTATACTATACTCTGTGGTGGCCAATCTATGTGTGAAAATGATGTTCCCTGAACCGCTCTTTCACAATTTGAGACTGATGAATCCTGGCATTGTCATCTTGGAATATGTCCGTGGCATCAGGGAACAAAAACCTTATCCTTCAGTATATTCAGGTAGGCAGCTGACCTTTATTTTATGGGCACATAATGTTGCTGAACCTAGACTTGACCAACTGAAGTAGCTCCAGATGAGAACACTGCCTGAAATCCAGGTGGTGACTTTTTTGGCCAGGCAGCATATAAGATGAGAAAATGATACCACATATGTCAGCCCGCAAACGTGAAAACTATGATACCCAAATCTGTCAGTAAGTGACCCTTTAAACAACTTTACAGCTCATCAATTCAGAGTTAACCATAAAAGATGACCCTAGGATTATCCCTCCCACTCTGGTGTACGCTGGGATACCTAATGTGTGTTGTGTCATTTATGTACATGTGTGCGTGGGGCTTTCAGGCTTCTTTCACTCTAGCCTGCTCTCTAAAATTGGTGTGGGCTGGTGTCAATGGTGTAGCGGCGGTGGTGGGGGCTGATGTGGCTTGTGTTGTTACAACCCAAGGCACTGATTACTTTTTTCCCCCTGTTTTTACCTGTATTAAAATGTCACAAAGTAAAATTCTATTCATTTCTATGCACTGCAGCCAAGCAATGACATAAGGTGAGCAGAAATGCGCTATGAAAAAATCCAGCATGTCTGCATTTTCACGCAACACACTGCAACCCATCTCAAGACAGCTTTGTGCTATGAACAGGGAAAATTCAAAACCTTTGTGTTGATCTATACTGATCATCGCAGCTCAACTGAAGTGGTGTGAAACATCCCTTCATTTTTTTTCACCTAACTTGATTATCACACGGGGCTGAAAAGCCTGTGAATGGGGCTTGATTTTAAACTATTTAATGTACTTTAAACTGATTATGTATAACAGCTTTGTTATATGGGTCAATCTCATGTTACAAGGCTCTATTGCACTCTCTGATCTCTTTTCAAACTGCATTTTAATACTACAAATAAAGATAGGGTAGGCTTTTCAGTGCAAGGAATAATGCAATAGCCAGGTCCAGGGTTTAAAATATTATAAACAAGCTAGGATCCTAGAAAACCGATATATCTTATCAGGATGGAGACTTTGTGTATAACACAACCAACTTTTGTGCTATGTTAAATGCCATGCCCATTGGGGCTGATACGAGTTCTGAAGTACATGGGTACATTGGGGCTGATCGCAGGTCTGCAGTGCATGTACACACTTGGGTTAAACAGAGGTCTAAAAAGTGAGAAATTGGATTTGAGGTCTAAAGTGCATGCAGTGGAGCTGATGTGAGCCTGAAGTGCATGTGTGCATTGGGGCTGATGTGGGGTCTAAAGTTGCAAGAATTGGGGCTGAGCGGAGGTCTGAAGATGCTGAAATGGAGGCTGATCTGAGGTCTAAGGATACAGGAATTGGAGCTGATCTGAGGTCTAATGAAGCAGAAATTGGGGCTAATCTGAGGTCTGAAGTACATGGGTGTATTGGAGCTGATGTGAGGTCTGCAGGTGCAGAAACTGTGCCTGATCTGAGGTCTGACGTGCATGTATTAGGGCTGATCTGAGGTGCATTGGGCTGATCTCAGGTCTAAAGATACAGGAATTGGGGCTGATCTGAGGTCTAAAGAATCAGAAATTGGGGCTGATCTGAGATCTGAAGTACATGGGTGCATTGGAGCTGATGTGAGGTCTGCAGGTGCAGAAACTATGGCTGATCTGAGGTCTATGCATTAGGGTTCTTTTTATATTTTACCAAAAATATGGGTGATAAATGGGTGTGGTTACTGGGGGTGTGGTCACTAAAGGGTGTGGTCATTGAGGGGTGTGGTCACTGAGGGGCGCTGTAAAGCTTTCTCGCACAGGGCGCCTAAAGGCCTAAGGCCGACCCTGGGGCTGAGCTGAGGTTTCAAGTGCATGTGTGCATTGGGCGGATCTCAGGTCTAAAGGTGCTTAAATTGGGGCTGATCTGAGGTCTGATGTGCACACATTGGGGCTGATCTGAGATTTTTATGTCATGCTGTAGGACTGTATATGATAATAAATAAGTTTAAACTTCCCATTAGCAGTACAACTATGCAAAAACTTAGACTACGAGATGCACAATATACCACATGATAGTTGGTGCTTGCTATACAGGACACACCAATTTAGGTTACATCACATGTTCTCATTGGTTTGTATCAAGGAGCCAAAATACAGCATATTAGGAAGAATTCTCATACAGTTTAGTACAGAGCTCTATGTGCAGTCTATTTTCTCTTAAACTTAATGACTCATAATATTATCATTCATGCCAAAAATAGATCCGTTGATTTAACGCATTCTCACCTTTAGTGCTAAGTCTATTTGATTCTTAATGTTGTGTATGATGTAACCCTCCACACCCGAATGGTTACTCGTCTTCAGCAGACACCTGAACACAGAGCAGCATGTTAGTTGAATTACAGCTAAAGACTGCATGGAGCTTAACTGGTTAGAACCATTAATTATGTTGAATATTAATGTCCAAAACACTGTACTGGTAAATATAGAAACAGATGGGACATTTTTTTCTTCCAAGATGTCTTCTGTTAGAAAGTCTGGAGTTAAAGTTATACCCTTTATTGGCCAACGTATTGAAGATGCAAGCTTTCAGTATTCCTTAGATCCCTTCTTCAGGGAAATGTATAAAGCATGGTGAAGAGATCTAAGGAATCCTGAAAGCTTGTATCTTTAATAAACGTTCTGCACTAATCGATGGCTAACAAGGTTCAATACTCTACCACTGCCAAGATGGCTTCTTCCAAATGATGAGCTATTACAGAGAATGCTAGCACATACTTAGAGGAAGGGTTTATAAAGACAAATACAGTGTGAAATAGACAACTAAATACAGTTGCACACCTGTGTAACCACTGTGATATCACATGGGAGGAGGCTTGGAAATGCATTGACAAATTGGCAATATTTTTCAGAAACATACCTAAAAATTGGTGAAGATGAGGTTTTAAACTGGCTCAGTGATATTTCTCCTCCCTTACAGGATGGTACAGTATTCAGAAAAGAAGCAGCCTATCCCACATTGAACCTAGCCTAGGGTGTCTCTGTATGCCTGCCTTAGTACGGCAGGCATACAGAGAAAGAACAATGTCAGGAACACTAAGCTGCCTCATAGACAAAGTTGCAAAACCCCCAATTGTTTCGTTATTTCCATTCACATTTCTGCAATTGTTTTAGTCTGTCCCCTAATATCTCACGACAAGAGGAATCCCAACTTTTCCTATGGTGCCTGTCCACAACTATGCGATTTTCTTTTGTCCGTTTTTGAAAATGCTGCATGTCCTTCTTTTGGTGCAACCTGTTGCGATTTTGGCCCATAGACTTGAATGGAATCCAATCACAAACCCATGTACATGCATTTTGTAAAATGTTTTTGATGTGTTTTTTGACATACCAGGAGATGGAGATACTCTCCATCTCCTCTGCAGCTTCCACTCTACACAGGATGCAGAGGAGATGGAGAGTCAAGGCCGCAGAATCCTGGATGCTGAAGCCTTCATCTGCCTGGTCATAGCGAGGAATGGCTGTATGATTCCACCCACTGCCAATACAATGCAGTAGGCATCATAAGGCATGGGCAGAAACTTTTGAGAATTGGGATGTTTTACCTTCTTCATGAATGATGTGTGGGGGCTTGGTGCAAACCCAATTCCCCTGAGTTTGCCCAAGTCCCCACAAATCTGTTCCTGACATAACCCCCTTTCGGTCCTATGATTTGCAGCCGGGACATTCCCCACCCTGCCCCTGTCACAACTGATCGGGATGGGATGGCGGGGGGCATGGGAAGTTGTCAGTCATGGTTTTGCACAAGCTTGGATGAATTTAGCCCCCACACATCCTTACTCTTCACACATAAACAGCACATAGTAAGTTCATTATACATTGGCACATTAGCATAGTGGCAATGACACAAGACTGCAGCAAAACTACACAGGCAAACAACAGAGAGAGGAAGCGTAAAGGAAGATGATGCCTAATGATGTCAGAGTAGATATTGCTTGTCATTGGCAAAAAGAAAAAATGCATGAAAACCGCATGCAAAAAAAAAGCATTATTATTATTATACAGGATGTATATAGCGCCAACAGTTTGCGCAGCGTTTCACAATATAAGGAAGACATTACAATCACAATACAATTCAAGACAAGATGGAAAGGAGGGCCCTGCTTGTGAGGGCTTACAAACTAAAAGGGAGGGGCAAGCGATACATGAGGAGGTGGTTGTGTGGGGATGAATTCTTTAAGAAATTGATATTTCAGGGGTTAGGTTGCAGTGGGATAGGCTTCCCTGAAGAGATGAGTCTTAGGGGATCGCCTAAAGGCAGTCAGTGTGGGAGATAGACGGACCGGTTGGGGTAGAGAGTTCAAGAGGATGGGAGAGACTCTAGTGAAGTCTTGGAGGCGAGCATGGGAGGAGTTGATGAGGGGGCTGGAAAGCAGGAGACACTGAGCCTTTGGTTAGGTGGATGAGTCTAGCAGCTGCATTCATGATAGACTGAAGGGGGGATAGCCTGTTTAAAGGTAGGCCAATGAGGAGGGAGTTGCAATAGTCAAGACGAGATATAACAAGTGAGTGGATGAGTAATTTTGCGGTTTCTTTGGTGAGGAAGAGACGTATTTTGGAGATGTTACGAAGTGTGAACCTAGCCTTATACAAAGAAACTGAAAATGTAATCTAATTTGATCTTGTTGTATTGTTCCTTTAATGAAAGTAATAATTGCATGAAGTAACTTGCCATTTGATAATGATTGGCTCCAAGCCATGAAAAAATTGTATGTTTATAGTAAGGTTGGTCATCCCTTACCTGAATAACCTATATTTTCCTTCCACACAGAACTTGTCAATCAACAATTGTAACATTGTCAGACTTTTCTTCCTCTAGAAGAAATATTCAGAGATTAAGCGGGATATAATGAGACTGCGTTCTTACAGCAGGTACAGTTCAATTTTCACCTAAGTCAGCTTTCTCCGACTCACCAGATGTTCAATAGGACACAGTGTCATCACCTTCACCAAATCCTGACAGAGAAGACACAAACAGAGTACTGATTTAGAGCAAGGACAGCATTAATACATTAACACCCTCCCCGTCACACAATAAAAATCATTTCTCGCAACTGCCATCTGCAGTCACATAGTCATTGAGGGGGCCACCTGCCTAAACTCTGGATAATGGCCAATGGATCCCTTATGTGTTTGCTGAGTGCCGCCGTTTTCTCCTGGCCAATACTGTTATTACAGAATATTCACTAGCAACCTTTCTTAAAGAGACCCTGTCACCAGTATGCAGTTTCACATTTGAAACCTTGCAACAATACAGCAATATCCATTCTCACTTTTACACACTTTTTCATTAAAGTGCAACTGAAGCCAAAACTTTTTTTTACATTTTGGATAGAGAAAAGAGAGATTAGAACACTTATTAGCGTAGGTTTTTATTGCTGTCTGTATCCCATTTAGGGGGATTCACCCCCTCTATTTTTCTGGTGATGATTATCACTGAAAGTGAAAAAAATGCCAAAGTTTCAGTTGTCATCAGAACAGGTACAGATGGGAAATCTTCCAAAGGAGACACTAGTTTTGGTGACCCTGCAGACAAAGGCATATCCTTTCTCTTTGATTTTCTCTCACTTCCTGTTGTAGTCATCACGTGTTTTGGCTTTTGTTTTCTGTGTAGGGAGATTCGCCATCTCGATTTGTCCTGGTGACTGTTATCACCCAAAGAGAAAGTAAAAAAAATTCAAAATTTTGAGCTGCCTCCAGAACAGAAGTAGATGGAAAGTCTTCTAATGAACACACTAGTTCTGGTGACCCTGCTGTCCACCAGGAATTTCCCTAAGGCTGGGTTCACACCTAGGCGTATCGAATATGCGCGTGTGACACAGTGAATATGCGCTGTAAAAAAAGACGCATACTTGGCTGTATCCCAATGGAAACGCACGACAAAAACGCCCCAAAAGAAGTTCCTGTACTTCTTTGGGCGTAGGAAATAATGGGATTTCGGTGTTTGAGCGTTTTGCAGAGCGTTCGAATGCGCTACAAAACGCCCAGGTGTGAACCAGGCCTAACTTTGAAGGGGTTTCCTCCCATTTGCTGTTGTGGCCATCAGACAGGGTGTGAGAAAATGTATCTTTGATGGGACACGGCAGGGGTTATAATCCTCCCTTACTCGATCCTAATCTAAAAAAAGTTTTGGCTTTAGTTCTACTTTAAATGACATAAGTGTTAGATCCTTTTCCCTGCCGGCCCATCACCGTTGCTTCATTCCTTTTCCTCCACCCCTTATCACTTGAGTTTCTGAGCAGTTCACAGCACAGCCTGGCAGAAAATCATAAGAGTGTGCAGAGGCAGAGTGCTGGAAATGGCAATTCCATACAACCTTTAGCAGCAATAGCCTTGTGGAGCCACTGCAAATTATAACTGCTCATTAGCTGCCAGGTTCACTGTCTGTGCTGGGTGTGGGCTTCAGGCACAGACAGTGGCTCGGACAGCTAAGGAGCAGCTGCTATGTCTTAGTTTGCTATTGACCTATAGCTGTCAGAGCTGCTGTTTATGCCAATGTGGGCCCCATCTAAAGAGCCACTGTCTGAGCTAATGTCTGCTCCAGCTAAGGAGTGATTGTAAACCAAGTTGCAGCCAATGAGCCTTTGTATACAATGGTTCCTTAGCTGTCACCACAATGTCCCTGCCAGATGCACACTCCCCCTAGGGAGCCACCGTCTGTGCTGGTGGCGACTTTAGTTAAAGAGCAATTATAAAAAACAGTGAAACTGCAGTGCCCTTGTTTACAATGGCTTCTAAGCTGTGAGAGCGGATGTCTGTGCCAGAGTCACAGCTTTGGGTCTGCTGAAGCTGCTGGTGTCAAGTCCAAGATGGCGGCACCTAGCTGCAATCTAAGAGTAAAGGAGGCCTTGCAAAGGGAAATTACGCAGAACAGAGCAGGTAATGTATTATTTAATTCAATTGCTATATTGAATTAGTAATAAATGATCTGGAGACAAGGTCCTTTCAGGTCTGAGAATAAGCTTCGGCGTGGTGATATGCAGTGGATTACTCATAAGCCTTAAATATACTATTGTGTACCCATCTGGTATTGCATTCTCCACTGTGACTAAGCCAGGCGTACCTTGAAACTGGCAATTATCACTATGCGCAAGGCTACATAACCACCCACATCAATGCAAGCTGACAGTATGGAGCCATCCATAAGAATGTTAAGATATGAATTTCACAGACGACTGCTCACATCACTTGTTCTGACATAGCAGCTGCACTGGAGATAATGAACTATAACATGACTCCGTTTTTTGGGGTGCCCAAAGTTGGCCTTTAATCCTATATGTTTAATAAACAGCTCCAAAAAGTTCTATTTGAAAACAGGTCACATTTCTTCTACAGGAAAAAAAGTTTGAACCAGCGAAATTACTCTGATGCAATTATTGTAAAAGTATTATAAGTACATGTATCTATAAAATTGTTTCAGATACTACAATTCAGAAACCTGGAGAACTGTAATACAAGCTTAAAACAGCCATATAGCACATGTACCGTGATAAATGCATAGCACCGTGTTTAACTTCTGTTCAGTCCATGGTCTGGTTATCCGGCAATCAACATTGGAAACTGATGGCCATTTACCAGCACCACCATGGAACACATGGTGTCTCTCAACCCCCCTCCCCACACCCCATTGCTGTATTCTGTGTAATTCCTTTACCTAGAAAGCGGATCATCTCTTAGATTGCTGCCGGGTACGGCCATCTTGGAAATGACACCGGCAGCTTTAGCAGACCCAAAGCTGTCACAAGAGATGCGAACTTCACGGAACTGATCCGGCAATACCGTAATTTTTGAACTGGTTGTCAGGTCATTACCAGTGACATAATAATGCAGTTCATGATGTCACTCAGACCCCCTCATGGTATCTACATCTTTGACAGCATCAGGGCACAGAGGAGGCCAGGCACTGCAATCACAAGACACCAATTGCTAGACAAACGGAGTGGGGACAGAAGTCAAACATGATGCTATGCATTTCTCAAGGTGCATGTGTTATATGGCTGTTTCAAGTTTACTGATAATTTCTAGGATCAACTTCCACTTTAGGTTTCGGCATAGCCAAATCTTTTTTTTGTTTTGTTAGAGTGGGGAAATATTAGAACCCTTACTGGGTTTTTACTATTATCCTGGACTACATTAGTGAGATTTCCCATCACAGTGAAGAAAAATCCCTATCTACAACAGACAGAAAATGTTTTGTAGCATAGAGAAAGTCTAAAACCTCGGTCATCCTTTCATTGCCGTCTTTGCCTCTGTTGCAGGTTTTCCCTCACTTCCTGTCTGGTGAAATTGTTGTCACCGTGAAGGAACATCTCTCTAACAGAACCTGGATAGCAGTAAAAAAAACACATAGGGTTCTAATCATTACCCACTCTACCCAAACCTAAAAAAAATAATAATCATTTAGCTGGACTTACACCTTAGTCTGGTCAAATAGAAGAGATTCTGACACTTGGAAGTTTCTTTCCTCACCACTCTTGTCTTCGGTGCATAATGCATAACTGCTCTATATCAAGTTTATCTTTACTGTATTAGAAACAACATAGGTTGTGGATTACAATTTACAGCCAGCAGATGCACTTTAAATGCGACACTAGTCACATTTTTTTCTAATTTGGGGTAAGGTAAGGGAGTCCCTTCCCCATTGATCACCCTTCTGGTAAGTCACAGTATAATAGGCAATAGAGGGCTAAGCAATGTAGAAAACTATATACACACAATCAAGACAATAAAGCTACTGCACAGGCACCATGATTTACATCACTGTATTATGCCTGTGCCAGCATCTTAATCCAAAACCAGATGGATAATACCAGAACATGGACAATGATGGAGTACTGTGACCCGAGAGGTATAAATGACGGCAGGGGTTATATTTTAGAATTTGTGTACATCGTGTTAAACGCATGAATGCACTTAGCAGGAAAACATTTTGCAATTGTATCTGATGGCAAGTCTGCTTTAGGAATCTACTCACCTGTATAACCTGACCCACTGCTTTAATCTCCAACAACTCTTCATGGAGGCTTTCATTATCCACTCTTCGTAAACTGTGCTCCAACAACTCCTGCAAATAGACAGCTTTAGGCTATGTGCCATGGTCACATCTGTCATTTAACTATTCTAAAGTTCCAATGTGAACTTACAAGCCCTTTGGATAATACAGATTCTTCTGTCCTGAAAATAGAATTTATTAGAATGTCAATATTTACTTCAATCGGAAAAAAAACAAATCACTCAAAATCCCACTCAGCCAAAACAGTTAGGAATGTAATGGTGGTAAGCAACACAGTATTATAACATGGCAGACAAAGTGCAACTGCAGAGGAGATTAGAACACCTGTCAGGTCTTTATTGCTGTTGTTGTCTCCTCTGTTAGGATCACCCCACAGGTTACAATCTGACCATACAACTTTTGTACCATCAATTTTATAATTTACCAAATCTATGTAAAAGGAGGACCTACCTAATCCATTCAATCAATCTGCATCCAATTAGGTAGGTCTATGCACTAAACAGTTGTTGGTAGATCTAAAGGAGATGGTGCAATCAGACTGTATAGTGTGTGGTGAACTTTACCCTCTCGGTTCGCCCTGGGGGCCGTCATCACTGAAAATAAAAGAAGTTCCCAAGTTTTGGGTTGTCATCGCATCAGGGATAGATGGGAAATCTTCCAAGAGGGACACTAGTTCTGATGATTTCTCTCACATCCTGTTGTGGCTATCTGACAGGAAGTGAAGAGAAAGCTATCCAATGGGATATAGATGGTAAAAAAGCTACAGGGGTTAGAACCCTCCCTTAACTATTCCAAAACTAAAAAGGTTTAGGTTTCAGTTCTACTTTAAAGTGTATACATAGCCAAACTTTTTTTTAGCTTTAGATAAGAGTAGTAAAGGGTTAGAACCTCGATCAAGGTTTTATTTCTGTCTTTGTCCCCAATGGGGACCACAGTCACAGATAAAGAAAATGAAAGGGAATCCAACATTTTAGAGTTGTCACCAGAACAAGAGGTGAGAATAAATCTTTCAATGGGGACAGCTGTTCCAGTGACAGCTGTTAAAAGAGAGGAGTTCACCTTACATTGTAGAGATTTCCTCTTATTTTCTGTTGCATCTCTGGGATAGGAAATTAAGACACAGACAGCAAAATATCAACTGAAAACCATTCCCATGCTATATTCAAAACAAATTTGTTTAACTTTATTTAAGCACTGTGCTAATGGAGCAATTTTTTGCACACATTTAAATCGGAATTTTTGGCTAGAAAACTGCGTCGAACCCCCAAACATATTTTCTGAAATTCAAAATATAGGAACTGTAGAAGAAAAAAAATACAAGTTGCAATTTTTTATGTTGCATGATATTTGTGCAAATGTTTAACAATTTCATTTTAGTGCACAAACACAAAACGCTCAATTTAAAATATAACAAATGGGGTTGCGTCTGGTAAATAGATACCAAACATGCCAAACCTTTAAATTGCGCACGGCCAAGAAATGGCAAATAACTACAGTACCCAAAATTGCTCAAAGGCGACACTTAATTCTTTACTGCTCATCAATTTAGTGTTAACAGTGACTGCTGGCCTTAGAATTTTTGCATGCACTTAAACATTTGCAGTGATATGTAATTTTCGTATATGTCGGCGTACCCAACACATGTTTGCATTTGAATATGTGTGTATGTGGGGGTGGAGGGCTTTAAAACTTTTTTTGTGTTTTTTTTATGTCAAATTTTTGCCATCACATAGGGGGCTAGCACAACCCCCTCAGCTGTATACAAGTGATCAGGTGGCTCTACTGCCACCCGATCATTTGTATGTGAAAGATGGTGTGGGCTGAAAAGAACCACTTTAGTACATGGCGTTTATGTATGTCGGTACCAAAGTGGTTAAGGGTTAAAATCCTTATCAACAACCTAAGGTAGATTTGTTTTTTTCTATATGGCTTTGGTCAGTGTTTTAATACCAAAGTATCTGCAGAGAAAATTCCAGTTAGTGGATATCTTTGGCTGTTGGGGTGGGATCACCAAACAGCTATGCTTGTTCCTCCATTTGGCCAGTATGGCCAACCTTAGAAGCGACTTCCTGCACATCATTTAAATAATGAATTGGGCCACCAGGCTAGGATGATCAAGTTAAGGATGCTGAAATATAAGCTTGCCATACACTGCTCACATTTGGGCGAGTCAGCTTGAATTGAAGCTGTGTGTGGCTTTGCCAGCACCACTCTGTAGCCGACAGGGGAGATTCCTCTATTCATGCTGTTTGGCATGGGAAAAAAATATTTTACATATATAATATATATATATTTCTCACTCTTTAGTAACTGCCAGAATGTGCAAATAAACACAAGCAGATCATACAACTTTAAAGTTATTTCAAGGGATAGGCAGAGTGATAGATGATCTTTGCAGGTGACTAATGATCCTTGCTATCCCCCATTAATAATAATGTACAAGCAAGACGTTAGTATTAATATCATTCACAGCCAGGTTTAATATCATCCTTCCTTATCTTCTAGAATTCCAGCGTTCAGCCCCACTAATAAGTGAGGTGCACTGATTTTATCATGGGGATCAGACATTTTGTACTCCTCAGCCTTTCATACTAGGATAGGATATGATAATATTCTATTACAAATACGTTTTAAAAGTGACATCTTCCCCTTACAAAATATACAATTTCACTAGGTTTCTGAAACAAGCCATGGATTTTGTATGTATATGTCACTCCAATGTATTGCATGGTTGCAGCAACAGGAAAAGAGTAAATCTTGCTAAACATTTGCTATCTTAGGGAGTTGTCACAGGGACAGGTAGGTGCCTATTGGAGGTTTTTCACTCACCTCTTGCTGTGGTGCTAACTCATATTTTTGGGATTTTCCATTACTTTCTGTCTCAGTAACATAAGTCAACAGGATAAATAGAGGTTTGTTTGGACAAACCATGTACACTTAGTACACAGAAACACCTAATCAATACACCGGCTGGTGATTGAAAACCCTTTTCCCACACCTGATTGTTGTATTGCACAATTATTACCGAGGTAGTGACTACCGAGATTTATAATTTTTTCACAGTAGAATCTGAACTTAGTAACTTCTTCACATCCTATAGAGCACACATATTTAATTTATTTATATTTGTCGAGACCGAGCGCAACTCACTTGCGATATAATAAGGATAAATAGAGTGGGTGAATCTCCCCAGGGGACACAGATCGCAACAACAACTTGACAAATATGTAACCATTCCCTACACTATCCCAAAAATGATTTGGTGTACACCCTAACATATCTACTCAATTTCTACATACAGGGGTTGATTTATGTAAAATGGACCATAATTGATTGATTTATGTAAAATGAACCATAAGTTGAAAGTGTATTCATTGCTTTAGCAGCTGCCCTGTTTATATTTACTCAGGCTTTAGTACATAAATGAGTAGGTCATTCTGAATTGAGTGGGGAAGGGGTTCAAACCTTAATTAAGTTTATATTGATACCGGTATGCCTTCTGGGGACATTTCCCACTATTCCTGTCCCAGTCACAGAAAGGAAAAGGCGTTCATTTCCTCAGCACAGACAATGACTGCAACAAAAACCTGACACGTTTATGTTCTTTTCCACTTTTCCTCACTTCCTGTTCTGCTGACACAACAGGAAGAAAGGTAAAAGGATACCAACAGCAATAGGAACCTGACAGAAGTTATAACCCTTCCTTTTAGTGGAACCTCAGCCCAGTTCGGGCTGAAGAACTTCTAAAAATCTGTAATTTTTGAAAGCAAATGTAATTTGTCATTGGGATGCAAACTATATGACCTGAATTTGCTATAATAGGCAACAGCTAAGACAGCAACAGTTGGCCTTAACCTTGTTAAGGGTAGACTCTGTAAAGTCTCCATTTTGGGGCTAATCTCATACATACTTTTGTTCTACAATCAATCTCCCCCTTATACCTCCTACAACAAGACCCCCAGGTCTCCTACATACATTGCATGTGTTCTAGAACCTTTAGTGCCGATTCCTAATCAGTTTCCTAATGTTCATAGCATTGCAGCTGCTGAGTCTGAGTGCCAAGGGGAAGGGTCTGCATAACTAGAAATGATTAATTAAGTATACTCAATCTGACCAGCATCCACCACTCGATGTATGTAGATCATCAAAGCTTAACTAAAGACATGCTGGAAATGCCATATTTAATCAAATATCCTGGAAGTAATATGACCTCAGGTTCTGCGCACACACAGCTCTCTAGGAAAGGATATGAGCCAATTACAGGATCAAGAGACAAGCATTTTACTACAGTTCAGGGAAGAGACATTGGTGTTTTAATTGGCACTTACAGAAAATTGCGGATAACTGCAGACTGATATAGAACGGTTATTTTAAAATCCAATAGTTTAAAAAAATAATTTTTTATGCGATATAGAAAGAATACATGTTACATTTGCTACAATATATAGAACACCAAGTAGCAATACAGGGACAAAAACATTGTTGAGCATTTAGTAAATTAGCATGCCTCAAGAATTCCTTAACAGAGCAAAAACATAAGGAGAAGACAAAGAAGGGCATATATTTGAAGCAGAACTAAAAAGGCAAAACTTTTTTTTTCTTTTAGAGATGGATAGATTTGGAGTGGTGAGGGGTTAGAACTAGGGATGCACCGATACCGGTATTGAGTACCGATATTTTTTTTTCCCGGTACTCGCCGATACTGAATACCGAGTACCGGAAGTCCCATTCAGGAAGCCAGGCGGCGTGTAATGACTCGCCACCTGGCTTCCTGATTAGCCGGGAAGCCGTCCCAATGCTTCTCGTCACCGTGGAGCTGGCTTTCTGGCCAATCAGGAAGCCGGGGGCTGTGTAATGACTCGGCACCCGGCTTCCTGATTGGCCAGGAAGTCGGCTCCATGCTCCCTCGTCATGAGGTGACAAGGGAGCATGAAGCCGGCTTGCCGACCAATCAGAAAACCGGGCAGCGCGTCATTACACACTGCCTGGCTTCCTGATTGGCCGGGAAGCCAGCTCCATGCTCTCTCAGCACAAGTGGAGAAGGTTTCTATCTCTTTGCCTGTTTCATCGGTAATGCAATACTAAATGGCTGTCCAGTCTATTTCAGCACAATTCTGCTGTCATTATTTCCACAGTCTTGCCTCCTTTTAGCCCTGATGAAAGGGGATTTTTTGGCCCCTGAAACGTGTTGGCTGTATGTGTATTCTGGATGTCATCAAACGTTTAATCAAAGACTTTGGACTCCTATCACCTGATTTGGTGCTCTCATTTGACCTAACTAGATGTGAATTTCTTGATTAAGGTGAACCCCCCTTTCCTTCCTTTAAGCAGGGGTGCCCCCATTTTTGTGGTGAGCAGCCGAGTCAAAAGAGAGAAAAAGAGGGGAAATCTTCCAAAGGGGATATTTGTTCCTGTGACAACTAAGAGGGGATTTCTCTCACATTGGAAAGATATCTTCTCACTTCCTGTTAAGTCTATAAAACAGGATGTAAAAGGGAAATCTCCATAATGAGACACAAACAGCAAAATAAAAAATGAAAATGGTTTTAAACACTCCCTTACCCTACCCCAAATTAGAAAACAATATAACGTTTTGGCTTTAGATGTACTTTAAAGCTTAACTGTAGCCAATGCTTCCGTTATACTTGAGATGATCCAGTTTATTAAAAATTGCATGCCTTACCATAAACTATCCAGCCATTCAAAAACAATCTGTTCCCAATACTCCTAACAATAGCATTTGAATGTCAGCAGAAAAAGATGTGTGCCTGCTGTTTGCAAGCACTCCCTGTGACTAGGATTGGCATGGCCATAGAAACGCCTTCATCCCCCAATCTGTTGCCCTCAGAACAGGAACACATCATTATACAGTGATGTTCATACTGTCCTGAATCCTGTCCTTAGACCATCCCTGCCTAAGGCCAGCAACATTACTATCAGTCAGCAGCTGCCAGGAATATGGAAAGCAGTTCTGCTGGAACAAATAAATCAATTAAAAAGGTAATAACATGACTTTTCAGTACAGACAACAAGGTGGGCTATACAATTAGGAGCAGGGTGGTCGTATAGGTGAGTAGAGATTTCTGGACAGGAAGCTGTACTTGAGGACCTGCATGTAATGATCTCCCCGTTTCTGCTTTATTCATTCTGTGGACCCATCTCCATTTCTCCTGCTGCTTCTTGATCCTTATCCCACCAGTTCTCAGATCACTAGTCAGGTGGGAGACAGTTTAGACATCACAGCCCTTTCTCTACCATGATGGCTGCCTCCACACAAGGAACACAGCGCTGCAGGGAGCTTATAGGCTAAAATTGTGACTAATCTTTTATATTCCGATTGCCTTTATTGGGCTTAGCTTCCACAGTACAGGATCTCTTTAACCTGTTCCTCCCACCATAACACTATGCAGCAGCACAGCTAGTGGGCCTTAATGCCCAGCTGCCACATATATGTGTCCATGGGGTTCTGCTGTTGTGTGCTGAGAGTGCTCACTGTGTGCTCCCAGAACAGTAACCGAGCTGTCACAGATGGCTCCTGGTCACCGTAAACGATCGGGAGCTGGTGGGGCGGGCTCCCGATCATGTGACCACTGTGACAACCATTTACAGCATGAAATCGATAGTCACTCGCACTCCAATTTCATACCAAGTCAATTCCTTTATTGACTATAGTAGTGTCACAATCATAGCGACGTTTCGGAACCAAGTGATTCCTACTTCAGACAAACATGCAGCCGTCACATGATCAGGACTTTGCCTCCCGACATTAATACCCAGTTAATGGGCTGGCTGGAGGCAGTGGTGACACATGGGGTTAAAAGCTGATGGGTACTTATATGAGCTCTCACACTTTTTGTTAGCAGGTGCAGCACACCTAGGTGGCAGAAAAAAAAAAAAAAGTACAATTTTGATTTCAGGTCTGCTTTGAATTATCCATGCTGTAAACCGTGGCCATTGATGTGAATATACCTTACCTTTTTAGCAACACATCAATATGTTCCATGCTAGACTTCAGTACAAATGATGGCCTAGGAAAAATAAAATATGAATATGAATCTTCAGTAAATATTTCCATTTAATCCTATAAGGAGACAAATATGGTAACATGACGCTGGTATCTGTGTTCAGTTCCGCAGTATATCTTTCATGTGCTCTAATCTTACCACTTCACATTGCTGACTCTGCGTACAGATTGTAATATTACAAACATGTAGAAATTCAAAGATATCAAAGATTTATCTCAGAACTCCTCCAGGATAAAATAAAACAATAGCCTACAGAATTCTGGCAGCTCAGATTGCTCATTTCGTATTGTAACTGGCAGGAGAAAGATTAAGCTCATGTATGAAGATATTGATCTGAGTTCCCAGAAAGCCGCTCAATACAAGAGCTTCTGACTGCATGTTCTATGTTCACGTCTGAACAGATTCTTACAGCATTAGTCTCAGTTCACTGCATGAGGAAACACAGATCATGGTAAAAAGGGTCAGCAGGGCATATGTTGCTTGAAGCAGTATCTGAAAGACATCCCTCTCATCCACTTCAAAGACTAGCAAGGTTATTAGACTAGTATATTATATATGAAAAATATGCAAAGAGCCGAGCTCCAAAATCCATAAATCACAATCCACTCTGCTACAGAAAAAAACTAATGCAACATTCTTTTATTTTTTTTACTTTATGTCAGGATAATCAGAAACCATGGGGTCTCACTGCAAAACTACGATGCTGCCTTCGGAGATCTATCTTTGTGGCACCTGGCAGTGTCATGTGTGACTGATCCCAACAGATATTATGCCTTTATCAAGGGTAGATTGCAGAAGAGCTGTCAATATAGTCTGTACACAAATAGGGACCCCTGTTGTAGGTATAAATTGCTAGGGAACAGGCGGCAGAGTGCAAAAAATGAAGCCAATTGTACCTTTAATACAAGTTGCCCTTTAATAAAAGCACGGAAGTTTACCATATTTTGCCTGGTGCAAAAAAGGAAGTTTCCACCCTAGGAAGTATTCTGTGGGAAGAATCCTGACCATTTTTGCAATTGGCGCTTTATCAGCATTTGGCCCTGGGTACCATTAAGGGCAAACTCTTGGCAAATGTGATCTTTCAATGAACACTTACCTCCCATTTCTTAGTTAAGACTTTTGTACAGGGTGTCACGTAGCTCCCCCTGTGACTCCATGGGATCTCAATTTGGCTCTCTTGGCACTTCAAAAACCACCCTTTGAACCTATCAGGGATATTCCCCTTTCCATCCTTATGTTTATTGTCCACAAGGTTGCCTTACTTGTAGCTTTAGCCCCAGTTTTGTTTTTTACGGTCATGTGGGCCTGTTAGTGTTTTACTGTTGCCCACTGTTCTGAATTTCCTAATTGTTTAGAAATGTACTAAATCCCTGTGTCTTTCAATGAATGAGAAAGAAAAAAGCATTAGTTCACTGAGGGACACAGGTACCACCCCTCCTCCTGTAGGTGGCAGTATAACCCAACTGTTTAAGAATTTACTACAATCCTGTGTCCCTCGATCTCAAAGAAATGGATTTTACAATAAGTACAGAAATCCTATTTTTTCAGCGTTTTTCCTTACACTTTTCTTAGAAACTGACAAATCCTATAACATCTGAAGGTTGCAGCTAAATAATCGTTGCTTTTTCTATGAAACCATAATAAAAAAAATATGTTTCATTCACTCATTGTAAAGTTTAAAATCAGGTTGCATTCACAATCCTAAACTGCAGCAGCAGGCTAAAGGGTCTGTTTTCATTTTCTTTTTGCAGAAGTCGTTAATTGTTGAGAGAATTTCCAAGAACGTACTCCAGGTGAGCGGAAAAGCATAAAAATGATAATTAAAGATCTTCGAGCTCTGCGCAGAGAATTTCCATAATAAATCTTTATACAATTAACACAAGCTTCTTCAGAGTCACAAATTACATTTCTTCAACATGTAGATGTATTGTTGCAGATACAAACTGCATTACTGAATAATTGGAATTGAGATGTGCTCACATGCTGATAAGACTGAATTGTTTTTACTGGAGTCCAATTCTATGTTTTTTTAAATAAGTCCAATAAAGTTGGGTAACAGTTTTCAATATCTTACTGTCTTTTTCCGATGCTCACCCAACCAAAAAAAATCAAATTCCAACTGATGGTTGCCGCTAAATACTGCTGCTCTCTATGTGAAAGCATCAGTCTCTATACAAAGGTCTGACATGCCCCCTGCCTTGTCACCACTAAAGTGCTGCCATTAGCAAAGCTCACCCTCCCTGCTGATTGCCATGCTATCCTGTAGCTCTGACTCAGCAGTAGTCATGTCAGACCACTGTATAGAGACCACTGCTCTCACACAGAAGGCAGTACTTATTTAACTCCTTTGGTACCCGCATGTTACACCCTCTTCATTATCAGGCCATTTTTCAGTTTTCAGCGCTGTGCAAGTTTGGCCGAGAATTCCTCCGTCACACAACATGGTGACAAAATTAATTCTCTATTATTTTTGGGGGACAAATATGGCTTTCCTTTTAGTGGTGTTTAATAACTCTTTTTTTAATTGTTTACTATATAAAGTAAAAAAGATAAATAAAAAAAAAGCCAGTTTATCTTTCATTTATAAATCATAGCAAAGAAAAACGTCAGGACAGTACTAAAACCCCCTAAATGACCCCCCAAGTAGACACTGAAGTGAGCTGATTTTTTGCCTTAATCTTTCCATTCTTTTAAAATGAAGAAACATGCTGGTATTGAGGGGGTTAAAACATGGAGCTTGGTAATGGTGCACAAGGTAGAAAAAAATGTACAGGTCATGGTCATAGGGAGGAGGGGATGAAGAGGATAATGTGCAGGTCATGTACAGTGGGAGGATGGAAATTAAGAGGTTAATGTATAGATGTGCAGGATAACAGGTCAGAGCAGAGACAGAATGCAAATAACAGAGAGGTAGAGAGTTAAAATTATTTGACATTTTTTTTTGCTGCTGTAGCTTGTTTTTACTGGGAAATAATGAATGGATGACTCATCCATTCATTACTCTTCACTCCATTGTCTCTGATGTAAGAGGAACGGGAGGGCTTTGCAATATAAAAATTGCCATGTGATCGCTATGATAACCAATAGATCACAGGACACAGACCCAATCGGCTCTGCATCTAAAAGCCGCTGCTCTCCACTGTTTAAGGACAGAGGAAGCAGCGGCTTTAGCAGCCACGTGCACACAGGCGTTACTGGGAGGACGTACAGGTATGTCTTCCCAGAACAATGGGGCTGCAGACAGGCCGTAATATATATATATACTATATATATATACACACACACACACACACACAGTGGCCAGTCCGCAAGTGGTTAAAGAACTCCAGGAAAATCACAAGCTTACCTTTACATTGGGGCTACCCCTGTACTGCAGGAGTTAAGTGCTTGTTTTGTCTATGGGACTCATATTAAGCAGATTTACTTACCTGATCCTCAGTCCCGCCGGTTCCCTTTGGAGCTTCTAAACCGGTCCACACAGTCTCCTCTCCCCTGGGCCCTGATGGTCCAGGGACCACTGACATGTCATATGCAGGTCCATTAAACTGCATTAGAGGTGGGGACGCTGAGGGACATTCCATAACTGGAGCGGAGGGAAAAAGGGGTAAGTGCTGCCTGCCGCCCAAGGATCAGGTGAGTGAAACTGCTTTATTTAAGTCCTCTAGACAAAACTAGCACTTAACCCTTACAGTGCAGGGGTCTTCACACTGCAAGGGTAAGTTTGTAATTTTTCCTGAGTTCTTTAACAGCAGCCTCCAGATGGAATAAGATTAATGAATACATAGCTGCATTAATTCATTTTGTTTATAGCTGCCTAGAGTTCAGTTTTAAATGTAGGAACCCATACCAACCAATCAGAATAAAATCTACTGCAGTCAGACTAGTACAAAATGGATGTTAATGGCTTGCTATGGATGACTGCACTTTAGAATGAGCAATTAAGAATATTAAATCTTTATTGACTCAGGCAGCTGGTATCACTGAACTAAAATATTAGTTTGCTTAATAGCAATGAGAGTACAAGTTGACCAATGCATGTTTTTTTTTAAATAATTAATATTACACGAGGCTGTATATTGAAGCAGGAATTTATATGCACAACCACGATGTACGCAGGTTTAAAGTAATTACTGTACCTGATACAACAATGTTTCCATGCAGCTTTTTTTGCCCCTTGATCTGCATCTTGCAATCTCATGACACAGCCATGTCTAACATGTGAAAAGTATGACAAACGGAAGAATTTGGTCATCCCATATGTAGCTGGGGTGTCTGAGAAACTCAGAAGGGTTTTTAAAAAACATCACATCCCTGTCTGCTTTAAACCCAGCAATACACAGAGACAACAAATGGTTCACCAAAAAGATCCAACGCCAAAACAAAAGAACAACATTGTGTTATGCAGTTCAGTGTAGGGAGGAGTGCTCAGAATTGTATGTCGGTGAAACAACAACAGCAGCTACACCAGCGTATGGCACAGCATAAAAGAGCCAAACCCTCTGGTCAGGATTCAGCAGTAAACCTACATCTAAAGGAAAAAGGCCACTCCTTTTAAGACAGTCAAGTACACATCCTAGACAAGGAGGCGGACTGGTTTAAAAGAGGTGTGAAAGAGGCCATTTATGTAAAAATGGAGAAGCCAAGCTTGAATAGAGGTGGGAAGATGGGGGGGTTGAGACATCTACAGTCTGCCACATACAATGCTCATTTAACACCTCTCTCTGGGCAGGTTAACAACACCTCCTGGACCCCAATTATGCAAATGAAATCAACACTTTTCACCTGAATTCACCATATATTCCCTGAGAATTTTTGTCCAAGTCATTCTGAATTGAGAAAGCTGGTTGGATGACCAGTGAAACGTCTTCAAGAAGAAAAAAAAAATACAGCCAGTCCAGTTGCTTTGGTTTATTTCCTTAACCCCACCCCCCTTATTCACACACACAAACCAGCTATACTTACTTTACCAGCACTTCATCATTGCTCTTGCATCATTTGCAGCCAGCAACATTACCTGGTGCTTCGGATATAGGGGAGCATGCAACCTTCTCCCATTTGTTCAGGTCTGGCAGCCAATCGCTACGTCCAAACACTGTCATGACCAGGTATTGACATCACCGCTTCCCTTAGTGTCTGACACCAGCCAACACTTGGATTTCAGTGCCGGCTGCAGCGAAGACAGGAGCTACATGGGGGCTCTGGTAAAGTGAGTATAACTCAGGCAGGAGCCTTTCCATACGCACTACCACTTTGCCCTGCATGGGTAAAAGGACAGTGTCTCTTTAAAGAGAGAAAATGGAAATCCTCTACACTCCTTTCTAGGCTGGTCAGTCAGCAGATGTGTCCCACAACTGAACTTTTTCCATTAAAATGGAATAAAGCTTAATTCCAGCTAAAACTGTTTTTAGTTTTGGACAGAGTAGGAAAGTTATAAACCCATTTTTTTATGTGTGGTCTGTGACGGCAACAGAACACTTATTGGTAAATCGGGAAAGGGTTAGACCCTCTGATGGGTTATTGTTACTATGCGTGTCTTCCTATCCATCCCATTCATTTCATGTCCTGCTGTCAAGGGACAGGAGGGTGAGCATATTGCTGCTCAGGTCTCATCAGCACCCTAAGAAACCCACAAATTAGTTTCAGAGACCAGACTGTGACTGCCCAACACACTGCTGTGATGCCGGAAGAAAACTGGACATTATAGCCAAGTTCTGATGGCCTCAGCAGCACTACTAATACTGCTGGAGCCGTGGTGTAACAATAGCCATAGCAGCCCATGCAGCTGCTATGGGGCCTGGGAGTAGGAGGGGGCCCCATTAATGTAGCCGATTAGGAAAACTAAACTGTGCGGTTTCCAGTATAGAATGGCTGAAGTCAGAACTCAGGATCTGCCAGCCTCTATGGAGAAAGTTAGCCAGGGAGCACCAAAGTTTTGCTACCCCATGATTATTAGTTACGCCCCTGTGCTGGAGGCATGAGGGGTAAGCAAATACATGTTTACCTTTAGCTAAGCTAATAATGAATATGTGGAATGAGAAAAGAGGATGCCTAAGCAGGAGATGAGAAAACGTTGCAAAGAGAGCAGGAGCATCTGACTTGACACAATCCACAGAATGGAAACTTACGAGTTCAAGTTTATACATTTTCAAATATCTCACCCAAAGACAAATGGGAAATTGTCCATGCCGATATGATGAACAAACAACAGGTAAGAGAGGTAGGCCACAGCCTCAGCAGTGTATGTCTCCTTCTCTGGCACTGCTTCCTCAGTCTCCAGACTTTCAGCTTTGGGAATGTGCTGCATACATGCTTTTGGTAGAGATTCACCCAATGATAGAAGAACACCCTGTAAAACAAAGAGAGTAATAACAAACATTTCTCTTTTAAAAGATTTCCTTACTTCGTTACAAATGGATTAACATTTAATACAGCAGGAATTAAATGTGTCAATTTCCACATAACATCAAATTCAAGTTCTGGTTATCCTAGTAAAGATTAGGAAATGAAAGGGATGATGGTTCAAGTTTAGGGGGCTAGGGAGGAGTGCTGAGGAGTATAGATCATAAACTTGTCTTAAGCCAGGGGTGGATGAATTAATATGTGAGTTTAGGAGCGAGCCTGTCCAATCCAGGAGCCAATAGTGTTTTCTTTAGGAGCCAGCTTTATTGACAACTAGAAAAAAACCTTCAAAGTGAGGCACCAGCTGTAATTTTTAAAGAGCACTGGCTACCTGGCTCCTGGGATTTGTCCACCCCGGTCCTAAGCCTTCCCAAACCTTTATGAACTATAAGCTGCATGGCTGATAATATTTAGTTCAATAGATTCCTTACTATAGCAGTCAGTGTGAATATTGTTTACCAAAGAAATGTGTGAAAGGAGACATATACATAGCAAATAAAACCATTCAATTCTGCTTGTGCTTACCATGATGCCTTCAGCAAATGAGCGGAAGGGATTGTCATCTAAATCATCTTCTGCCAATTTGAGCTGAGCCGTGAGAAGAGGAAACTTCAAGCAACTAAAACAGCTTGTGACAGAAGTAAAAGGATAAAATATGAGGACACCTAGAAAGAATCATTATGCTGCATGGATTACATTCACACCCCATAACCTAATATTATTATTGTTTCACACAACATCCCATTAGCCGTTATAATTAAAATAAACCCTTCCCCATTCAGTACCCTTTTTTAGCTCTAATATTATATTTGTCTATATATCATGTTTCTGTAAACAGCGTGTCCTAACATCAAACCACAGCATTTGTAGTTTCCTCACTGCAGCTGAACCATACATTAAAGTGAACCTGTGGCGATAGAAATCAGCACACAATGAGATCAGCACATAAAATGAATCATCATAGAATAACAATATCTGCATTTAGTATAAAGTGTATCTAAACCCAAGAAGCAAAAATGTAATGCATTGCACAATCTGTTGTGCATCTAACACTACCCTCTCAATACTGCAGACAGCTGCTGTCCAAGGGTGGCTCCATTCTTCCCCCCATAAAAGTGGAGGCACCCTAAGACAGGAAGTGTGTTACAGCCCAATCACCAGGGGAAAATAAAGGAAAAGAAGCCCAAAAACGAATGCAGCCACCACATCTAACAACTGGAAAGCTGTGATATATTCAATTTTTTTTTTGGGGGGGGGGCTTTAAATATGCTTTAGGCTTCTTGATTCTCAAGCTAACAGTTACTTCCTTGTACTGGGGTACAGCCACGCCTGCATCCACCATTGCAGTGATCCTGGTTCATCAACCTATAGCTGGGCTGGAACACCGTCACATGGGGTTAAACCTACACCTAAAGAGCAACTCCGGAAATTGTTTTTAGTAATCCTTGCAGTGGGGGTAGCTGCTCTTTTCCATCTAGGCATGAAAATAAAAAAAAAGTTATATTCACCTAAACCTTGGAGCTAGCCGGCTGTCACAGCACCCCCTCCAGCCCCTCTCCTCCTACGCTGCAGTGATGGCATGTCCCTCAGCGTCCCCGTGTCTAATACATAGTGTGTTGGATGTGATGACTCAAGGATCCTTGGACCGCTGCACTACTATATTATATTTAAATGCAACAACCGCTAAATATACACTTACAATGTCAGGAGCTCCTTCCTCATCTCCTGAATATCCTGCTCCTTGGTAATGTCTGTGGTCTGTGATATGAGATCAACAAATGGCTGTACAAACTGAAGTAAGGCAAGACAGCACCGGCAAAGAGAATGCTTGTCTTCTTTAATCTGCTCAACAGTGTATGGTACTGGCAGACAGGATATCCGAGAATGGATGGTGGACAAAGACAGACCCACGGAGTAGGACTTCTTGCTTCCAAGTTTCAGGAGTACTAGGAGATATAAGCAGATATTATGCCAACAACTAAAGAAAGAAAAAAGAATATTGCATAAAAACATGAAGAGGAAAAAAAGTGTCAAAAGTATCCTTTATTAGAACAGACATAAAATCAATAAAAAAAATGGCTATATATGTCATATATACACACTCTTCATCGTTAGTATATGCTCTACAGCAGTGGTCCTCGACCAGTGTAACTTCAGGACCCACATTTGCCCTTGGTCATTGAGTCATGACCTAAGTCGCACTGCACTGGAACGCACGGCATTGCGGTACCGTATGTTCCAGTGTGGGCCATCGAACTGTGGGTGGGAGGTGCATTTGGGGTGCCATTGAGGTGAGTCTCCCTAACTTACGAGAACTGGAGTGGATCCTCAGCCTGGGGTCCGGTGTGGGCTGCTGTGCTGTGATGGAGCACCATCCATACGTGCATTGCTGGTACAGCTCCATTGCGCACCCCGTAGAGGTGCCAAGAGCCAGACTGTGACGTCACTCCGGTCCAGGCACCTCTACAGGACATGCAAGGAAGCTGTAAGCAATGCATGTATGAATGAAGCTCCCTCGCGGCCATAGCTCCATCTTATCCCACCCTACCTCAAGCTGACACTTGGCAAAGGGCAGCATATTTTGAATGGTTGCATGGCATGAGAACTGACAGCGCTGTGCAAGGGGGAGGCTGAGGAGCCTCCCACCTAGAAAAAGTAGAAGGCATAGGGCGACCCACTGAACACGGGGTCGCAACACACTTTTGGTTCACGACCCACTAGTTGAGAACCAATGATCTAGAGGTTTATTGTGAGACACTGCATGGAGTTATAGTGGATACAAGTGATCACTGTCATCCTTGCATAAAGGCGGTTGATATATGTATGTCCAGCAAATATCCTGCATAAAAGATGGATTATCAGTGATCATTTCAGCATATTGTTTTGCTGTCTCATCTTTAATTTTCTGATTATATATCTATCATGTGTGCTCAGTGTCTAACTTATGGACAGTAGTGACTGAAATTGATGTGTGTACATACATTCAGAGTTTAAAGGCTGCAGGTGTCTGCTGCACTAGTATTTTGCTGATCAATGGTGCTTCATTGATTTGTATATGGAAAACTTTCCATTCATTGTGTAAGTTATATATAACATCACCCAAGAAATATGTACTCAACCATTGATTTTTGATCTAAGCATTATAAACTGTATGTCCTCAATCTAGGGTAACTTGGGCTTCATTACAGCTGTAAGGATTGCAGCGATTCAAGATTATATGGGGTTTTCATTATATTACGGTGTCTGTGTATGCTAAACACTTAAAGACTACTATGAATGTGAACTTCTCTGTATAGCTAAGCTTTTCTTTCCTATCTTCTCTTACCTGATATTCTGGGTTTTCACCAGAAAACATACTCCCCTGCCGAGCAGATCCAGCGTTGCCCTGATGTGATCCCCCGTCACAGCCCGGGTACCGCTATCTTCTCGGACGTCTTCAGGAGTCAGCTGTTTCTTTAACGTTCTGCAGCTGGCCCCAGATGACGCGCGTCCAGGTTCATCCATTGGCCGCTATGTGTCCATGTTAATGTCATATCAGCAGTTGCATCATATTTCCTCCCATTGAGGGACATACAAACAAAGACAGATCAATATCCCAGGTGTTAAACTAAAGCAGATATGGATCATGACCACTGTAGTGATATAGCCACATAGGTGATTTAATTTGTTTGTTCTGATAAAGGTATACTTTTATTACACATTTTCCTCCTTCTGTTTTCCTGAAAATTGTAGCAGCCCCATGACCCAAATGACTACTTCTGTAACAGCTGTGATCTAGAGGTTTAAAAAAATTAATTGTTTTACTATAATTGTTTAATGCTAATAAATCACACAACCGTAAAATAATAAATATCTACATTTCAGCTTTCTAAAGATTCTTTTTAAACAGTTAGGGGGTATATTTATTAAGCAATTCGCCATTACTCCTGCAAACATAGAAAAAAATTATTCCTATGCTCCTCAACTCCATCTAGTGGCCCTAACGCAGTATTTTCCAGGTATTAATTTTGACCTGAAAAAAATATAAACTAAGAACGTTCCTTCTTGCCTCAATTTGCACAGAACGAACGTTCACAGAGTTCCACAAGATGAATGGCTTTGTGAATTGTTTATAAATACACCCCAAAGTATTTAGGGAAAGCAATGCCATGTAACCCAACCATATTGCCCTAGCAATAGTGCAAATGAAATACTGATGTTACCTGTCTGCAGAGGCTGAAGCAATGGCAAGATAATCCGAGATATAAGATCTCCTGTTGCTTCCTCAATCTGTTCAAGAATACCCAGCAAGATCTCCTTTGGAATGCATAACTACAAAGTCAGAGAGTACACACATTTTATTATGATTTTTCCCTGTATTGCTGGAATATTCACTTTTCTTTACAGTCTGAACTGCTTGAATGCATGAATGGCATAAGGCACCATCTGCTGGCTGTGAAAGGGCAGTGTACAAATTTCCATGTTCACAGTTATCCAAGAAATGCTAATATAGTTTAAAGACCCTCATGGGTGACTACTCAATCTTTCAGCACCTTTTGCTCTTTAACTTGTAGGACAAGCCAGTTGCTTACTAACCATCCCCTGTAAGACAAACTGGCTACACGACAGGTCTCAAGATAACCCTATACAGAAGATTTGTATCCATACAAGTAGACTTTCCTTTAATCCAGATCATTCCAGAGCGACTTGGTACTAAGCAGACCCAGCTATTGGCTTGCAAACTGAATAGCCAAGGATGCTTCCATATGACGGTAATTCAAATCTAACTTTCCGTTAAGGCAAACCGATCAGCATTTTAATGTATCCCATTAGCCAGCATCACAAGATGTCTACTATTATCTTTATTAACCATAAAATACTCTTCTGTGCATGTCCACCATCTTGGTTCCATTTGCAAATTAAAGGGTAATTCCACTTTCCCAGGTGAATTTCGAGAAAATGGAATTACCCCCTCCAATCTGCCCCCTCTCCACGCTACTCTTACCTGTGAACGAATGCTCCTTCCCCTCCAAGGCTCCCGAACATCGTACACAGAAGTGCAGCCCTGTACTAGGCATTTCAAATTATGCTCGCAAAAGGAGAGCACTCATTGGTCAGTGCGATCACCTGACCATGGTGACCAATGAGAAGCTCTTTTGACCGCACTGTCCAATAAAAAGCACTTCTTAGGAAGAAGCACCTCTCATTTGGTCAGCATGGTCAGGTGACCATGCTGGCCAATGAATGTACGCCATTTGCGAGCATAATTTGAAATGCTTAGCACAGGGCTGTGCTGGTGTGTATGGAGTATGGGTCATATACCGGCAGCCACAGAGGGGAAGGAGGGTTCATTCAGAGGTAAGAGCAGTGGGGGGTAATTTCATTTTCTCAAATTCGCCTGGGAATGTGGAATAATCTTTAAAAGGCATGGCTTAGGAGTAACATCCCAGCTAGCTCCCTGATCCAAACATTAGCCAGGATATTCTCATTGGACCAGGAGGCAGTGAGTGGGAAAACCTCACCTGCGCGGGGTAATCTAAATACGTTGCGTTGGTGAAGACCGAGCCGAAAGTTGGCCATTTTGTTTGAAATGTTTTGTTTTTGGAATATTCTTCTGAGTTTCTAATGGTTAGTAGGGTCCAACAATCAAGGGAGCAGGATGGAAATGTTTTTTTTCATATACGAACTGTGAATATGATTTTCGCTTGGAAAAAAAGCGTACCTATTGTAATGCGCATGTGCTTGGCACAAAAGAAACCCGTTTAATCCTTCTGAGAATCCTTTTAAGTAGAAGGTCCGGAGAAAGTTTCCAAGGCTTTCAAACTAAATTAGTTGACTCAAAGATGGCAAGAGCATATGCTCTGACGAATGATTTTGAACATTCAAATGAAATTCTAACAGTGTATGGTCAGTTTTAGTGCCAAATTGTAAACGAGATCAAAGCGATACAGAAAAGGTCTTTCTGGCAACCATAGAGAACTACTCTTAAGCAGGCCTTTTATTTTTAAAGTAGCTGACAGGTTATCTCAAATGTAAGATGTAAATGTAAAACGTAAGAGATAAAGTCCTACAGAAAACGATTAGTTCAAGTTTCTGCTGCTAAAGGTTTTTCACACATAGCTTCTCCATTTTGGCTTTATGTTTGTAAAGTAAATAATGACAGGGTGTAATATGTCATGTGTTGTTTTATCCGAGATTGTATTTACCTAATTTTAAGAGCCACCAAGGACCATATCATTTCTATTATGTCCTGATATGTAGAACCATAGAATTCAAAGAGGGTGTACTTTCTTTTTTACACAATTGTATATAAACAGCTACAGCCACCAGAGACATAAATTATTTTACCGTAGCTTTAGCTTTCCATCTGTTAAACAAACACAGCAAGCAGATTGCACCTTTTCACCTGAAAGTAGAATTCTCTTACCTGTGCTAGGCCATCAATCATCTGCAAACAGGTTTTCTCTTTGTCACTGCCAGGTTCATTTTTGAGCATGCACTTTGTTATGGGTCCAATGAGATTCCACCCTGTACTTCTGATGAATGCCTACAGAGATAAAAGAATATCACTACATATTGTATAACTGAATAGGGAAACCACAAGCATTACTGCCTTGAAGTAGGCTGTTCTGACCAAGGCAGGTAAAGGTTCATCCCTGAAATAATGGACAAGGCTGTTCTAACGCGTGTGAAGAACATATGCTGGGTCTCATTGGGGAGATATGCCATGATTGCATGAGTGCTGTAGTAGAAGCAACACTCCACCCATATATATATACACATCCACAATAAAGTGATATTAAAGTTGAAAGGTTTTCAAGCTATTTTAAATGCTGGTTGAACCTCTTATAATGGATGCTGTTCCTTGATGTTTACAAGTTTTAATTTCCTGTGCTAGTAAGCTGTGTGTGTCTTAGATACACAGGCAAAGCAAGCCACTACACCGCACCTCTTCTTCCATCTCCCCTTCTCCAAGCTAGTAGATGGACAGCTGCTGGAGACTGCTCTGTTCCTTGTAATCTTGTACTAGACAAGAAGTTTAGGGAAACCAAGCTGAGAGTTGGAGCTGTTCAGAAACATGATGACTAAGTGCTTGGGCAAAAATGTTAAAGAAACACTTTGTTGGGCAATTTGATCTGTATTCATCATTGAAAAAGTTTTAAAGTTTAATGCTACTTTAAACAATTTGTTTGCTTTGACGTGGTCTAGAAACTCTTTAAATGTATCCATGGTGGTTTGAACAACTCTTTTAAATAAATGAAAAAGGATTGTTTTAATACCAAATGATGAGATAAATACAAGAAGGCAGAATAGGTTACTCACCAATGCAACAACATTATTTTAACATCAGTGTGAAATAAACACACAGATCATTTTGTTATTGGTAGGCTCTGCTCAACCATTGAGCAGCATGTTGAACAGTACATTATTATGGGAGTCAGTTACTGTGATAGAGTGCCATAGCTCTTCATTTCACGTTCCTCATATCTGGAGGTGGTATTTCTAGTGGGAAAGGCATCCACTTCTTATTCAATTACTCCTATATAATTGCTCTCTTCACTTCCTTTGCTAGAAAATTCCTGATGATCATAACAGCAAGAAACTCCTTGATTTGTTTTCATGTCTAAATTCTGCTTACCATTTGGATAGTCAAAAAGGTAAAAATTCTCATTAGTTATTCATACTGACCGGTAATATTCTTTCTATAGTAATCAAATCTCAAATAAGATGCATTTTATAAATAACACATATATATATATA